AGGAATGATGTGAGGGGGAAGAACCAGTTCATGGGCTGTAGGTTTAAAAGTGCCCTCCACTGTACATTTTACTCTACTCTTCAAAACCACTTTCTGCATATTCAAGTGATAAATACAGTCAGAGGCACATCATACCATGAACTTTGACTCTCCTGAGCCCTGTTCAAGTCTGGCTTTATTTGCCTCTTTACCCCACAGACACGTAACACAGCACTGACAAAACTTTTAACCAGATGGGCTCTAAACAGACACTCTGCAAACAGAAATTGAATGTCCCCACATGTCCTTTTTTTTTTTTTTTTTTGGTGTGAAGGCAGAGCAGCTCTTGCACTCGTTCCCAAAACACACTGCTGGCAGGGTCAGGGCAGTTACACAGTTTATCAGGTGGCTGATGAAAAACCACCTGGTTTTGTCAGATGCAGATGAGAGAGGATTCAGACACACCATTTCACCAGCAAGACTGGGAGGTAAGCAGATACAGCAACAGCCTCTTGAACCAGCTACAGCTATCACATTTCATCTAACACATCCAGGCTCTGATTGAACAAGATGCAACTATAAGTTTACTACTTCAATCCTACGTCGACTAGAAAAAAGTGCTCATGTTCCAAGATTTCATTATTATCCAATCTGCAGGATCCCATGCTCTCCATAAAGCTGAAACAAGTATTCATAGTAAAGTAACACCACAAAACTAGGTCAGAAATGTACTGTAAAATGCTTCTATGTATCAAGAAAGAAAAAGATTTAGAAAGATTCTCACAGAAGTGCCCACCTTGATACATTCAGTAGTTTTATTTAAAAAAAAGGAAAATGTCTCCATAATCAGGGCTACCAATCAGAAGTTACATTATTATCCTCACGCATCATAGTGATCACTCGTTCTACTGGAAAACACATCTCTTAACTACTATGCAAGGTCTTTCTAGATCTTCACAGTTACCAAGAATTATTTATTTTTTAAGAAGACAACGTGAATCTCAGTTTTGCAGAAAGGGTTCTTGTTTTCATGATAACCTAACAGGCTCTTGCTCCCTCACAGCTGACTGCAGACACACACAAGTCCTCACCTCTGAATCTACAGACTATTCTCTCCTAGACACTGCTGCAGGCAAACACCCACACTGATTCCTTACCCCAAAGACAGGGTTTGTAGAACAGCTCTTTAGCTGAAACAGCTGGTAGAAAACATCAGAACATGCTCTGTTAACACCCCTGAATGCCAGGCTACACCAGGTGTTTCTGTTGCATACGAATGGCTGCCATGCTAGCACCTGGCCAGCACACATTTATTTATTTATAGAATTTATAAATAAAGTATTTATAGAAATAAGAGGTTCTCAATCTGTGGATCAAGGATCCAACTACCAATGAAGTCTTCCCATCGATGTCAGAGCAGCAGGCTAACTAGTGTCTTCAGAGCAGACCAGAAAACACAAAGTCTCCTCTGCATCAGCAAAAGAAAAAAAAAAAAAACAAAACCACACTCCCTTAAGTAACTCACAAGTTGAATCTGACATCTGAGACCCTTTTGTATTTGCTTTAAAAAAATAATCAGTGTCAAGATGCACAACACCTGGAGTACCAACAACCCTTAATTCAGTTACCCCAGTGCTGATCTCACTTCCAGTGCCTGCATAAATACACTAGTCTCTCTGTTTTAAGAGGTATCCATATCCCTAGCTTGACATATAGGTTTTCCTAGCCCTCACAGGTTTTTACAGTAAATTCAGCCTCTTCCCCATCCTTTGCTTTGTGAAAAGCACCAATACGGATAACTATGTCTACATATGACTCTTCAATATACATTTAGCTTGAAAATCTACAAGTAAAATAAATTTCAATTGTCATGCTGTGAAAGGCCACAATAAAGCATTTAAGTTTTAGTCCTGTAGGAAGATTTATTCACAGCACTTTTCTCCCTGTTAATGTTACAGTAGAGACCACAAACATATTCACATTGTGGGAAAAAAGCCTAAAAATTTTAATTTCTGTGCTACATGTACGTTGCTCATATTCTTACAGCTGTGAACAGAATTTCAGCCTGGAATCCTACTTACATTTTAGTTTCTGCAGTTCACTTAATTTCACATTAATTATTGTATTAGGAATCATACATTACATCTTGATTATTTCTGCAGATTACTAATACCATTGGTATTAACACATGGCATGGAATGCTGATGCACGACTGAACATGTCGTCTGACACAAGCAGCCATGAAGCAAATACAATTACACTGTTGTTTAAGCTGCCCAGAATGGCTGGCTTCCAGTCATTCCTCTGCAAGCTGCTCTTTTAAAGATAAAACACAACCATGTAGAAAGTCTTGCTTAGACACCAGAGTGAGGAGCAGGTAGAGAGGAAACGGTGAAGTAAGCTTTCATTTACCATTGTCTAGCGTTTTCATTTACCTGTATTGGTATCAACCACCACCATTATCTAAAAATCAAACTGTATGTGAAATAGGTCTCAGAAAAAGCATAATCCTAATTCTTATTCAACTAAAAAAAAAATCTGGTGTTTTGCTGTAAATATGGATTCCACTACATCTGCCAGCTTTAGGCCAAATACTGTCCCCATAAATCCTCCTGCATGAGGATCCCTAACTGAACCCCATTTCTAGGAAGACTAAATAATAACCATGTTTCAAAGTCAAGAAAATAAAATTCCTAACAACCGTAGGTGATTTCAACAGTTTTAATGCCAATGAACATCCATGCCTGCAACAAAACAAAGCATATTTAGAATAACGGGGGATTGGAAGGCCTTGCATCTTATTGGTAGGAAAGATGAGGAACAGAAAGAGAGACAAAGACCACAGGAATTCATTTTTTCCCCCCATACCCTCACATTGTAATGGTTGAGCGGCGAAAGCTGAAAACCAAATCATCCTCCGTGCTGAGGAGCCATGAACACCGGGGTTCAGAGCTGGCCTAACTGAAGGCCTGACGGAAAGCTTGCCTCAGAGCCACAAGCACTGCAAGATGGAGCGCTGTAATTACCCTCTGCTTTATTACCAGGGAGAGCCGTGGCCGAGGGTGACTCCAGCAAGGGCTGGCCCCACCTGAGCCCCGGTGCAAACGGGACAGGTGGTGCCTTGTCGGGAGCCGCCCCGGGCCCATCTCCTCACAGCCCCGTCACACCTCGGCCTGCGACTCCTCACAAAAAAAGCAGCGGGTTTTCCTCTCTCCGCCTCCCCCCCCCGCCTTCAAACCGCTTCCTTTGTTTCGTTCTGGCCCACCCAGCACCACAAAGCGAAAACGAACGGCAGCAGCGGGGTGAAAGCCAGGATTTGCGGGGTGGGGGACGGAAGGTTGGGGGCGGCGGGCCCCCACCCCCGACCAGGCCTCTCTCCTCACCCCCCCCCCCGCCCCCAGCCTTTACCCCACCTCAGTACACCCCCTTTCCCCCCACCTTCCCCACACCGCATCCCCCCCCACCCGCACTCACCCTCCTGGAATTTGGGCTTGGGGTCCTGCTTGGGCGCCATTTATAAGTGACTCTCCCTCCTCCCGCCCCCTCCCCGCGGGGGCCTCACCACCTCCGCCGCATTCTGCGCGGCCGGCCCCAGCCCCCTCCGCGCCGCGCAGGCGCACTGCGTCCCCCCCCCCCCGCGGCATGCTGGGATTTGTAGTCTGCGGGGAGGGGGGGATCCACTGCACACCCAGGGCCCGCACACACACGCTCCGGGGGGCGGGGAGGGGGATAAAGTATAAATTTTGCTGTTCGTTGTTGACTGCAAGGGCCGTGAGGAGTGCGAGGAAGAGGAGGAAAATAAAGTAGTAAAAAAGTTTGAAGAGGCACAAAATACCATGCGCCCAACGTGGGGCTCGAACCCACGACCCTGGGATTAAGAGTCCCATGCTCTACCGACTGAGCTAGCCGGGCACCACACACCGCCGTCTTCCTCCGCCTGACTCGATATCGCCCCGCCCGCCAGGGCTCGCTGCCCTCAGCTCATTTGCATGTTTAATATTATCATTTAATTAATTAACCCCACCCCCTGCGGAGGCTGGCGGCAGCGGAGCTGCAGAAGTGAAACTGAGGAAACTGCGGGGCTGTCGGTGCCGTCCGGACCACCAGCAGCCCCCCCCCCACGCTGCGTGCAAGGGACCAGGAACTACGTTTAATTTGATTTTCTCCGTTTACTCTACGTTTCTACGTTTATTCCGCTCCCCCTGCCCGGGGGGGGCGCGAAGATCTCGAGGAGCCCCCCCGGAGTGTGGCCACAGGACACCCCGCTTCTAGGACCCCACCTCATTTTGTCGTGCTGTACTTACCGCCGGTATAAAGTGTATTTCGTGGTGTGTTAGGGCTGAATTCCGCTCGAAAATGCGGATTTCGAAGCGTGACCTGAACATTCAGAAAGCTCCGGCGCTCCAGGCCGGGCTGGAAGCCGCACGGGCTCTGCCGGACCTCGCTCACCCTTAGAATGGGCTTAGCGGAAAACGCAGCGCTGGTTTTGCCGTTTTTGAGGGATTTCGGGGTGTTGGACGGAGCGAGGCGGCGAGACGCCGAGGGCGGGGGATGCAGCAGCACCCGGGCGCGTTTCGGGAGGATTCCCCGATTTCCCTGTCCTGCCCAGGAGTTATTTAAGTGGCAGCGAATGAAGCCAAGTTTTCGTATTTCCCGCTTATTATTCCCTGAAAATAAAATTTTAAAACAAACAAACAAACAAACAAAAAAACAAACAACACCCTCAGCCTCGCTGCTGTGCCTAGGGCTTTGCCGGCCTCAGGACAGCACCGTTTTTTCCCCCGGTTTTCCCCCAAATTCGCGCAGCCCCGCGGCGGGAAAAAGCGGCAAGTGCGGGAGGCGCCGCCACCGCCGCCAGGGGGCGCCGCCGCGCCGCCGCGCTCGCGCCCTCCGCAGGCGCGGAGCCCCGCCCGCCCTCCCCCCCGGTACACCGCCCCCCCGGTACGCCCCCCCCCCCCCCCCCGCCCCGGTATGCCGCCCCGCCGCGCTGAGCCGCCCGCCGCGCTGAGCCGCCCGCCGCCATGGCGCTCCCGGCCGGGCTCCTGCGCCTGGCCGCCGCGCTGGCGCTGGCCGCGGGCGCGCAGGCGGGCGGAGGGACCGCGCGGGCAGGTCCGCGGAGGGGAGCGGGGCGGGGGGGGGGATGTCCTCGGTGGGGCGCGGGGAGCGTGGCAGTCGCCGGAGCCGGGCAGCCCGACCGCCCTCCGCCCCCGGAGGCGGCTTCCCAACTGGGATTTACAAGGGTTTGGGGTTTTTTTTGCTTTTTTTTTTTTTTTTTGGTGGGGGGGGGGGGGTGTGTGTTTGGATTTTGGGGGGTTCTTGGTTTTTTTTTTTTTTGGTTTTGTTTTGTTTTTCCCGGCAGCTGTAATGAACGTGGGCATGGGGAAGCGGGGACCAGCCCCGGCTCCGGAGCTGCGCGGCCCCCCCCCCCCCCCCCCCCCCCCAAGCCCTCTCCATCCCACCCCACCCCTGACCCCCCTCTCCCAGGGAAAACCCCAGCCCTGACCCCCCCGGAGGGGCAGCGGGGGGCCCCCTGCGCCCCACGGCCGCGGGGTTCCTGCCCTTCCCTGCTCCCTGCCGGACACCGGTCGCCGGATCCAACTGGTATTTGGGTACCCGACCCCGCTGGGCTGCCTTGGGAGCTCAGCACCCAGCGGAAGGGGCAGGAGAGGAAAGGTGATGAACCCGAAAGCTAAGCGCTGCCCCCCCTGCCTTCCCAGAGCCCGCTCCGCCGTGCTCCCCCAGCGACATCGTTCATCCCGTCAAGGTGGACGAGAGCGGATCGTTCCTCTCCTACGATTTGTCCCACCGGGCGCTCCACCGAAGGTCCCCTTCCTCCAGGAGCAAGTTCCTCGCCTTCTACGAACTGCGTTACCGGGGGGAACCCCTGAAATTCAACCTGAGCCTTAACAACGACCTCCTGGCGCCCGGGTTCGTCAGCGAGAGGCGATCCGGGGGGATCGCGAACGCCAAGATCCGCTCTCACGCGTACGACCCCTGCTATATGATCGGGGAGGTCCGGAGCCGGGCGCTGACGGGAGGGCTGGCCGCGCTCAGCACGTGTGACGGGCTGGTAAGTACGGGCACCTTTAATCGGTAAGGGAAGAGCAGAAGCTGTGTGAAATCCTTTGGTTGGTTTGTTTGGGTTTTTTTCCCTTTTTTTCTGCTGAGAGCGATAGCAAAATTCCTTCCGGCAGCAGCAAAGTCAGGATCGCATCGCGTAGGTTTGATGCGTCCGCAGGTGAGCTGACTGTGAAGTTCCCATGGATTCCAGGGGTTTGGGAACTCCCCGGGACTGTGTTTACTTGTTAGTATGAAAATTCCCAAAGAGAGCAATTCTCACGTCGCCTCCGCCGTCTAGTAGACAAGCATGGGATTATGCGAAACACATCTGAAAACACGGTGTTCGAAGCCTGGAGGTATTTATGGTAACGCAGCTCATGTATACTTAAACTGCTTCACGTTTCGTAGAGCACCTCCGCTGCTTTATTCCACCGCAAATATTTCCGAAGGCGGTAGTGACCTGCGCGAGTGTAAGTTTTGCTGAAAGGTGAAGTGACTTTCACAAAGGAGACTGTTGTGTCAGATCTCAGCGAGGAGAGTTCAGGGCTGCAGCGTAAATGCCCGTCTCTACGTGAGCTCGCAGCCGCCTGGCTCAGGCCCCCCCGGTCCCTGCAGGGTTTAAAACATCTTAGGGGTTTGCAGAAGTGTTACTGTATAATTTGGTAGCTCCCATGATGCGCAGACCCCCCCCCCCCCCCGCTCCTGAGCAGGGGCAGGGGGTTGACAGAGGTGCTGGGGCTCCCCAAAGATAGTGAGTGGATGGGGGGGGGGGGTTCTCCTTTGGGAGGGAGCACCCGCACTCCCCGTGCCCGGCGTCCCTGGGTTTGGGGGGGCCAATAACTCCACATCCCTGTGCTTAATCGGGGGGTGCAAGGTTTCGGGGAGAGCAGGGCTGATGGCGGGGAGCAGCGCTGCTGCCTCTCCCTCACCAGAAGCTGCAAGAAGAGAGCTCGGACTTTCCCTGCCCGTGGCTGCTGGCGGGGCAGGACAGGAGCTGGGCACAGCTTGGAAGGTGTCGGTTGCTCTTTTCTGCTAAATTTAACAGCAGCTGAGGGGGTTTGGTACCCTGCGCTTCACGCAGCGCCCCTATCTCCAGCGGGGTGAAGGCTGCAGAAAATCATCAGGCTCATCATTCGCGTAAAAAATAGACTGGTGCACCTAGGAGGAACCTACAAACCTTTTGGTTCGTTTTTCCGTGAATGCTTGCGTGAGAAAAACGCTCGTGGCTGCAGCGTACACAGAAGTAGAAAGTGTCACGAGCGGTGCCGTGAATGTCTGTTTGCACGTGGGCAGCCCCAGTACTGGATGGTGGTTCTGGGAATGTTCGCGTGGCCTCCTCCTGCCAGCGAGCTGCAAAGCTGCCATCAGACTTAGAAACCCGGTCTTGCAGTGTGGGTCGGGCAAAACTAAGCTGCTAATAGTGAATGGACCAAAGCGTGTTCATCCAGGTCGTTTGAAATATATTCAGGTGGAGAGAATTAAACTTCTCTTTGTGAATTAAGCACAGGCAGGAGTTACTCGTTAAATAATTTGCCATCCACACGTGTCACCTGAAAACACTCATTTCATAGGGATGTTTGGCAAAATATATATTCACCTGAATATATTGAAATATATTCAGGTGGAGAGAATTAAACTTCTCTTTGTGAATTAAGCACAGGCAGGAGTTACTCGTTAAATAATTTGCCATCCACATGTGTCACCTGAAAACACTCATTTCATAGGGATGTTTGGCAAACCCCATCAAGGTATGTAAAGTGGGTTGAAAATGAGTGGTACCATGTGAATGTTATGGATTAATATTATTTTTTAAGAAGCAGAAAAAATTGTTAGCTCACAAAAGGCGTTAGCACAAGGTTGCGAGAGGGTCTGCAGCCCATAAACCACGAGTGGGGAGCAAAACTCAGCCTGAAGTTGCTTTAAACCTTCTCTCCTCAGTCTTATACCCATGGCTTTTTGTCGGACAGATGCTAAGCCATGGAAAACTGCACTTAGCAATGTGCTGCGTGTCTCATAATTATTACGGAAAGTAAAGTGTGTTCTGAGCTACCGCTTCATTACAGGGAATTACTCACATGCTACTTGAAGGCAGGGTCAGTATTACAGGGTGTAAACAAGGACCGTACTACTGGGGTGAGAAAGCACAGAGCTATATACACTGCATTTATACATGTAGTGTGCTGGTGGTACCGTGTATTTCAAGCCCAGCGTTGCCGCGCTGAAAGCTCTCTGCCGTTTCCAGTTGTAAAGCAGGGATGGGCTGTCCCAAAATTCCAGCTCGTGGCAGCCTCACATGTCAAACCAAATCACATCAGCTCCTTGAAGGGCCGCGTTCCCAGTAACCATCACTGGTGCAGCCCCTGCTCCAGCCTTACTTACTGGCGTAATGCACAGTGGCTGTACCTTAACACCCTTGGCCAGCCTCTGCAAGCCCTGTTCCCACGACCAGACTTCACCGTGCTTACAACACTGCTGTAAGACTTTCAAAGCCTCCTGTCAATGGTTTTAAAATAAAATGCAGTCATAGGAGCTGGGTTCTGCTCTCGCTTGGGTAGTTTTGCCAGTGCACCTTCTCCAGGGCAATTTCTTACTCTCGTTACAGACCGTGATGAGCGAGCGTGAGGGAGGCAGGGGTTAGGGATGCTGGCACTGCTTACTGGGATGGACTGGGACATGCAAGGTGCAGAAAATTTAACCAGGTGTGTTTTAAACAGGGAGAACCCGACCTTCTCACGGGCAGCAAATGCCACTTAGTGCTACCGCACAACCAACCGGTGACGAAACGCGGCCCCTGGGCAGGTTTCAGCTGGGGCAGTGACCTCTGTTCCTGTCCTGGCTCAGAATAACCTGCACCAAAAAATGGAGAAGGAACCGTATCTGTGGCCTCCTTCCCTTCCTTCCCCATCCCCGTGGTGTTTCCTCCTTGTTATTTGACATTTTCAAGGAGTTCATTAGGGAGGAAGCTGCTTTCCCCGGCACCACATGAGTGGTGAGAAAGCATCGCTGGTAGGCTCAGTCCCGTCGTAGCTTGGAAATGTTGGAAAGAGTTGTAGAGGCATGTTTTGATCATCTTTGTCCCTGCCCTGTCCTGGCGTGTGAAACTAATACACGTTTCGGAGCAACAGCCTGGTAAGCAAAGCTGAGCATGAAGGGGCTCCTGAGTAAGCGTAGGACACCCCAGCCCGCTCCAGACACCCTTGTTCTTATGGCAGAAAATACATTTACAAAAGGCTCCTCGCAGCAGCACCCTGGTGCGCCGAGTGACGCTGCGGGGTCCCGCAGGAGCTCCCCTCCTTGGGGTGAAGCTGCTCGTGCAGCAATTTGTTCCTGAGCTGCAGCGTGGAGGCTGGGGCATCCTGGGGGGGGGTCGGTAATGATGTGCTGCAGCTGGGCCAGGTCAGAGGGGCCGTCATCCAGCAAAGAAAGTTTTAGGGTGCCACTTCCCGCTGAAGGGGAGACGCCGTTGTTGCGTGGAGGGGCCGTGCTCCTTGTCCTGGGACTGACATCCCTTGATTGGAGCTCCTGCCGTGATCAAGTGCTCCTGCAGGTTCCTCTCCCCTGGAGCTTTTCTGGTCTTTGCCCGGGGAGGTCTGTGGCCCGATGGCTCACGGCGGTGGTGCTTAGGCAGTGCAAGGGGCCAGAAGCATTTGGCTGGGTCTTACGAGGATGTCCTTAGGAAAACGCCTCTGTCTGGGCAACGCTTCCTCCAAAAACTGGTGCTGCACCACGAGCAGAGCTGCCCTTCGCCCGCCCGGACTCCCCAGAGCCCCTCCAGGCAGGTTGGAGGGAGGTGGTGTGAGCACACTCCGAGGTGGGATGTGCGCCTGTTCCTGGTGTGCCCTGGCTCTCTGGAGAAGGCGTCTCTCTGGCTCAGCACCCCTGCAGCCCCTGAGCCCCTCACTGTCAGACACCCGTTGGGTTCACCACCCGTCTGCACTTTGTGAGGGGATCTCTTTGGCTTTTTGCTTTCTTAATGATCGCTCCATGCTGGCAGTTTAGAGCTCAAAGTATCCATAAGCCCAGTTTCTTTAGAGAAGACCTGTTTCTTCCTGGAAAATCTTGCAAACCCTCTCCCGTTCCCAGGTTCTTCAGCGTGAGCCTGTGCTAGATGCAGATGGCTCCACGGTGACAACTTTGTCTCTCCCTGCCAGAAAGGCGTGTTTCAGCTCATGAACGAGGACTATTTCATCGAACCAGTATCCACCAGCTCTCGGGAGGATGGAGCGGCGCAGCCCCACAGGATATACAAGCGCCAGGCACCCGAGCACGGGGCAGAGCAAGGCGGGAGGCCACCAGCTCCACGAGAAACCTGTGGTGTGCAAGGTATTGTCCCCTTTTGTGTTCTTGCAATGAGCTGGGAGCAGCTGGGTCCCGTGATTCGTACGAAGCGTATTGTAGAGAGATAAAAGCAGCAGGTCCAAGCCTTGGCCCCCTGCATTGCCTCTGCAGACTCGTTAAACTCGTTAAGTCTTAAACCCTGGTGTTTGCTCCCATCTCAAGCTCCCAGCATCCAGCAGCAGCAGCGATTGCTCCTAGTCTGAGTTTTGCAAGTTGGGCTGGAGGTCCCTCTTGCCGCCTAGGCTGGCGAGAAAGAAAACCCTCGGACCAAAAAACCTGAGGGAGGGGGACGGACGGGGGGCTGTGCAGTGTCCTGCTGCAGGGTGGGTTTTGGGGTTGGGGGGGGGGGGGTGCGATGCCTGGAGCCGCTCACTGGGCCACAGCAGCCGATTCCCACGAGGGGTTTTATCGCAGGAAGGCTCGTTCCAATTGCAAGGCAGGATTGCTCGCTGGCGGAGCGCCCGCCGGCAGGTTTGTGGCGTTAATGCCTGAAGCCCACGAGTCACGGGAATCACTGCAGAGCACAGGGTTGGTTTTTTGTTTTTTGTTTTTTGTTTTTTTAATCCTGCCAATTTTCCTCTAGTTGCTTATGTTTCTCACATACGCAACTCGATGCGTGTTGAACCTCAGGCCTCTCGCTCTCATCTTTTCCTCCCGGCCCTGCTGCAAGCCTCTCGTGATGTGGAGACTGAGTATTTATTTTCATTTCCTTGCAAACATCAGTTTCTGGCCTGCCAGGGCATTGGACTTTTCGGAGCGAAACCCGGTCGCTGCCCCAGGAGTCTCTGTGCTGCAGGGCAGAGAGTACATGCCGGTTCCTTCTCCTCTGTCTAGAGCAGATGGGTTGGATAAACTTCCAAACCCCAGATTTCAAGTAATGAGGAATTCAGGGCATCCCCAGCAGTTCACAGGCACTTTACTCCTCGTCTGCATCGGTGAAGCTGCATCTTCCAGGCAGTGCATCATGTTTTGAATATTTCCCGGAGCTCTCTGCTTTTGGAAACTGTTGTGTTTTGTTGGCTTTGGTTTTTTGTTTTTTTTTTTTTTTTTCCTATAATCAGGTTATCTTCAGGCATTCTTCTGTTAATCTAACTTATTTAATCTATGGTAATACTCCTAATGGCTCCTTCTAAACTTTGAAGTCGATTCACTGTGAATTAATTCCACTGGGTGTGGCATGGCCCGTGGGTAAGGCACGTGGATCTCCGCTGCAGTCTGGGCTAGCAGAGTGGCTGTGATGCCTGTGCCCTGGCGAGGAAACCAAAAGCCCGTGGGATTTTGGTTCCTGCAAGCCTTTCATTCTGTGCTGACGCACTGCCCGTTTTCTTTGTGAGACGCCATGCAGCCAGATGGGGTTAGGCTGTTTGGTGTTCTTTAGCTTCTGGCAGTGCATGGTACAGCCTGTGTGTACAGCTGGGCGAGTGCTTGGGAGGGATCTCAGGGGGAAAATGCCGCGCGAGCCCGCCCTGGGGTCCCGGGAGCCCCCTGCACCCCTCCTCTCGGCAGTACCCTCACATCCCCGCTGGGAGCTTAGCAGCAAAGGGCACAATGGAAATAAGCTCCAAGGAAGCTATTGCGATTAAACTGTCACTGTGGTATTAGCAATTCGTCAAATTATCCAGATAGTTGGGATTTTTCAGGCTGGGGGATAAAACGCTCTTTCACAGCTAACGTACAGTATAGTCCATAAAATGTAAAAGTCCATTGTTAAGAAAGTAAGGCTGAGCCTTTAGAAACTGGTCATAAAAGCAATTCCCACTGTGTGGGATGTGGTTTGTAAAGCCTTTCCCCAGCTTGGGGCTGACCCTGACCTTGATCTTGGAGCAGCGTCACAGGAAAAGTCTCCGCATGAGAATTCCCAGTTGCTGGTGTGCATGAGGAGCATCCGAGCTCTCCTCCGCCTCCTGTCTCGCTTCAGCCCGATGAATGTTCCCGTTGTTTCTCCTGGGAAGGAGCAGAGTTCAGTCTCCATGTGCCCGAGGAAATCTCTGTGCAGTCCTGCAACGGCTCCATCTTGCCCAGGATGCTGATGAACTTCGGGATTTGGCTCAAGACATCAGTCCAGCTTTGGGGGAGCAGAGTCTGTGGTGTTGGGGAACTGCCTCTCCCTGCAAAATACAGATCTGTGATGATGATAAGCAGAAATGTTGAGCCACCGGGGTTATTTCTCAGTGGTACGTGTTCAAGCATCTCTGCAGGGTTGCCTATAAATTCAGATGTCAATACAAACCCTAAGCGCTCTGCTCTGGGAGGCTCTGTGTTCCTGGGGGAATGTTGCAAACCCTGTTCCAGTCAAAGAAATGACTTCAAATGCTTTATTTATTTTTTTTTTTTTCCTATCATGCTAATGCCACTGTGCAACAGACTGAGGTCAGAGTCTTCAACCCCCAGTGATTTTTTGGAACATACAGCACAGCAAAATACACATAGGTTATGAGTCTAAGAGTGGACCTTCCTCAACACCAAAATAGAAAACCAACTAAGTCTTGATGATATTTTACCAAAGTTGCAGACATTTTACGAAAATAATAAAAGTCTTTTTTTCCCCTCTTTAATCCTTCAGAATCTCAGGGTAGCCTGGAGAGGTCTGAGAAGCGGCGGGAAAGATGGGAACAGAAGCAGCACAGGAAGCGGAGAATAAAGCAGCGCTCCATCAGCAAGGAGAAGTGGGTGGAAACGCTGGTGGTGGCAGACACCAAGATGATAGAATACCACGGGAGCGAGAACATCGAGAAGTACGTGCTGACCGTGATGAACATGGTGAGTCCTGGTCCTCCCAACGGCAGAGCTGCCGGGTCCCTGGGGCCGTGGCGTTGGGACGTAAAGCCCACCGGGCTTCCCCGGACCCGTCCCTGGTGGGACCTCAGCAACCCTCTCCCCAGACAGGCTGTTCCCACCCGCCCGCTGGCGTTTCTGCATTGCTCCGTGCTCTGTCTGCCGTGGGAGGACGGGTCGGTGTCAGCAAGCCCGAGCCCAAAACCTCCGTGCAGGCGGGAGCAGCTCAGCCTGCAGCGGTTTCACCTTCCCCCGTGGGGCTCGGGGGCTGTTCCCTCCTCCTTCCCTCCGTGGGGATGGATAACGTGGCCTCCCAGGGAGGTGCCCCACGGGCAGAGGTGCTCCAGGGAAGGGGGGTGGTGGGTGCTGCCCAGGGCTCTCCCCGGGCAGGCGTGCGGGCAGCTTGGGGACGCGGCCGAAGCTGAAAACCCACCCCCCCCCAAAACCTGCACGAGGGCCACCCACCGCCCTCGGCGTGATCGGGAAACCTCCTCGCAGGAGGATTGATCCGCAGGGACCTGGGAGCTTTGGGCGCAGGCTCCCTTGAGCCTGGGGCTGGCCGTGCTCGCAGAGGGAGCGCGCCGGGGCAGCTGCCGTCGGAGCCAGTGCTGGGACCTGGTTGGCAGGAGAGACCTGAAGGGCTTTTCCTGGGAAAGTGCCGCTGGGGACAGTTAAGGGAAGGAGCACCAGCCTGTGGCAGTCTCCACTGGGAATCTGGGTGGGGTTTGCTGGTGCCATAAACCAAGCAGATAAGTCAGCGTGGGTTGGCTCGGTCTGTTCTCTCTTCTGCTGCTGTGGAAGCACCTATTTGCGTTTCAGAAGAGGGCTTTGGTCGATGGCCAGAAGAGAAGGTGGGGTTGGGCAGAGGACCTCGCAGTAACATCCCTGGGTTTCTGGGGGCGGGTGAAGGCACCCAGAGAGCGCAGGCTTCCTTGGGATGTTAAACACATCTACCAGGAGTGAAAGCAAAGGTGTTCCCCCCGGGCTTTTCTGGTTGAGTTTCATGTGCTACAGGGATGATATCAATTTTAAATGGATATCATCGCCCGCCGAACGCTTTAGTCCAGGTCTGCATCTGGTCTTGTCTCTCATTTTGGGGAATTCCCCGAGATGTTGTCAACAACGTTCAGTAGCTTCCCCTGGGGCTGATGTTCCCCTGCAGATGTACTTTACCAGCACCGGTGTCCCAGGGCAAGGCCTTTCCGTCGGGCTTTATTTCCTTGGCTTTTGCGTGTTGCAGGTGGCGGGTCTGTTCCACCACGCCAGCATTGGGAACCCCATCAACATTGCGATAGTGCGACTCATCCTGCTGGAAAAAGAAGAGGTAAAAAGAAAACACAGTGACTCACTCCCGGGTTCTGGCAGCCAGGCTGGGGGGTACGCCGGGCGCTGGCCTTGAAAGCCCTGAGCTCCCTTGTGCTGTCTTCATGGCCTGGATGAATTTGCGTCAGATAAACGCAGGCGCCCGTGCCTTGGGTCCTTGTCTCCTGCACGGGCTGCCTGGCCAGGGGACGGCACGGCCAGAGGAGCTGCGGGGCCCGAATCCTGTAATAACTGATGATAACTCAGCATTGCTGCTGGTAGCGGCGGGCTGCGAGCCGGCCGGGGGTTGTTTGTGCTCCCAGCTGCAGCGGTGCCTCTCGGGGAGCCTGACGCCGCTCAGACGGGCTCCCCAGCTGTGTCCACCCCCATCAGCCAGGGCGGGATATTTTCCCGCAGTGTTTCTTAACCCTCACTACTGGATGATTTAATGTTTTGGTTGAATCACGGATGAAAAGAAAGCAGAAAAGAACTGTATTCCCACCCAGCCTACAACCTATAAATATGGAGCGATTCCATCTGGATGGCAGTTATTCCCAATTCCACTCTGATGCGTCTGAGATCAGACCCCTCCCCACTGCATCCCCAAAACCAAACAGATGCAGCAGCAATACGATAGCAGACTTTTAATTATGTTGGCAGGAGGATCTGAAAATCTCCCACCACGCAGACAACACCTTGAAAAGCTTTTGCAAGTGGCAGAAGAGCATCAACGTTAAAGGAGATTCCCATCCCCTGCATCACGACGTTGCAGTCCTGCTCACAAGGTATTGTGCTCACGTGCTGATTTTATGCTGTAGATGCTACGCTGGCAGCTAGAAACACGTCTGCTGGCTGCAGGCAGGGGGGCAGCCGGAGGAATATCTCGGGGAGAGCTCTTGAAATCTCCCTCTCCATGCCCGAGCCCTGCCTGGACACCTGCCCATAAGATATGTAACATGAAATCTGAAGATAACCTGGCCCCCATGGCTGGAACTGGTCTCAGATCTCAGGTTTAGACCTGGAGATAGCTCCCAGTTGACTAGCTGAGGCTTCCAAACCAGGTTTTCCCCATGGCCCTATTGCCAAGCTCCAGAATGGCTGGATCCTCCCAGGAGATGTACACAGGGCTTAACTCTCCTTTTTCCCTCGGAGGCTAATGCTGGGATTGGCAGAGGAGCCTCTGAGAAGGCCCCTGACCTCCCATGAAGCTGCCAGGAATTCATGCCTCTGGCCAAGTTTATATACCTTGCAGTTTGATGATTTCAGGCTGCAGTGATTTGGCTGTGTCGTGCTGGTTTGTGTGATGATTCACAACCCACAACAGTTTTATCTTCTTTAGGAAGTTTGCTTTGTAGCAGAAATAAGGCACTTAAGGCCATGTACTTCAATGGAGTTGCTCTTCCTGGGTGGCTGGAGCTCCTCTGCCCTGGACCACAGCATCCCTGGGCTGTGCTTCCCCAAGCAGTGTAGTAATTGCTTAATTATTCCCAGCATCAGCTTTATTTATACAATGGAATAAACATAGCCAGGCTGGCTAGCAGTTCCCATTAATCAGGCTTAATAATAAGCTGGGGATATTGGGAGAGTAAAGGGGAAAGGAAAGGTTGTAAATCTTTCCGTTGCGGAAAGACGTTGGACGTCTCCTTTCTCACTTCTGTTTGGCCAGTGTCTGCGTGTCTTCCTCCGCGGGCTGGGACACGTCCCGTGCTCCTTCCCGCGCCTCGCGGCGGGTCCTGCCGCTTTCAAACCCCTCTCTTTGCTCTGTCTGTGTGTTCGTTGTCTCCGTCGCCCAAGGAAGGACATCTGCGCGGCGATGAACAGACCCTGCGAGACCCTGGGTCTGTCCCACGTGGCGGGGATGTGCCAGCCCCACAGGAGCTGCAACATCAACGAGGACACGGGGCTGCCCCTGGCCTTCACCGTGGCCCACGAGCTCGGACACAGGTACCACCGGCTTCTTCCTCCTCTCCTCTGACCTCTGTGCTCCGCGCTGCTCGGTCAGGGCTTGAGAAGGCACGGGTGGAAGTTGGGAGAAGATCGCTGAGCGGCTCCTCACTGGTGCCAACCTTCCTCTGCCCCCGCGAGGACTTACCCTTGGGAATTGCATCTCAGCGTTAAGTTTTTGGTTGTCCCAGGTTCAGTGAAAACCACATTAATCCCACTCAGCCTGGACAAACTGCCTTTGTACGTTACCCTGTGTTGCTGATGCCGAAGGTTTTGGAGGAGAGGGTTGCCCATTAAGAAGTTTTAAAATAGGGTTCGCATACAGAATCGGCGACATAATTTTGCTTGCCCAAACTTCAATTAAATTTTGACAAGGTTGCCTGAACATTATAGCTCATAAGAGATATCCCTGTACGGTAAAAACGCTTACCCAGTAAATTTAATTAACTCGATGTTGTTCGATAGTCTCGTTATTTTTTTCTTGGGTGAGTTTTTCAGTAAGAAATCTGAGACAGAAGCGTGGGACAAAGTTCGGGGCAGTGTCCCTGCTGTCACTAAAGTGTCCCCCCCAGGCAGCTCCCCCGGCGCCTGTTAATGACGGCGGCCCCGCGGAGCTGGGACCGTCTGCGGTGTCTGGCGTGGCGTGGTGGTGTTCTGGGGAAGCAGAGAGGCTGCGCGGTTGTGGCGGCGTGCGGCTCACCTCTCCTTTGTGGGGCTGTGCTCTTACACAGTTTTGGGATTCAGCATGATGGAAGCAGCAATGACTGTGAGCCAGTTGGGAAAAGACCTTTCATCATGTCTCCACAGCTCCTGTATGACACGTCCCCACTCACCTGGTCCCGCTGCAGCCGCGAGTACATCACACGATTCCTCGAGTAAGTCCTCCCTTCCTCTTCCTCCTCGCTCACGGGGTGCTGGGGGGTGGCTGGGGGGCTTGGGTCTGCAGCCGGGGTCTGGCCCAGCCGGTCGCACTCAGAAATCAGCCCCGGGGCACGGGGGGATGCTTTTATCTCACACACACACCCCCCGTTGCCTCAGTCCTTGCTGTGAAGGACGGGGGGTTTGAACGCAGCAGCAGCACGAGCGTTGGGGCGCTGGCACAGGGGCTGGTGGCTTCCACCCGTGAAGCCGGAGTGGTTTTCCTGCGATGCTCCGCGCAGTTTTCGTCGGCGCTCTGCACGGGGCAGATGGAGTTTGCCTGCAGGCTGGAGGCGTCACGTGAGGGAGCGAGACCGAGCCAAATTCTTCCGTGGGTTTATTTATTTTTAGCGCCCTGTGGCTGATTTTTCAGCCTGTTGTTATTAAGTTCCTAGGAACACAGCCCAGAGATTTACGCTTGTCAGCCAGTGGCTTGCACTGGAGGAATGTTTTCCTTCCTTGCTACGGGAAGGTTAGAAAACAGCGAGAGCATCGATAAGGAGCGGCGACGGGGAGAAGGGGGCAAGGGACCGGCGGTTACATGGTGGGGAGGCTGCCTGGGGCTGAGCTCCTGCTCCCAAATCCCAGCCGGGAACGCGTGGGCTTGGCCCCCACGCAGGGTGAATTATTGTGGATTTACGGCTTTTGGTGGAACGGAGCTTCTTCATATCTGCAGTGTTCTTGGCCCTTTGCTTTTAACCTTCACTTTGGGATTAAGAATTTCCTGCTTGCAATGACCTTGGGCTGCTGTGAGCTGGGACGGGGAAGAAACAGGGCAGCTGGATGTTTCTCCAGTTGGGTGTTGGTCTCTCTGCTCCCCCCAGAAGGGGCAGCTCTTCCTTCAGAGCGGAGCAGAGCCCGGCAGGCGACTTTCACCGGCTGCGACATCCCCCCAGTGAGGGAGGGACCTGTTGCCAGCACAGACACGAGTGCGTTGTAAAATGATGTTGGCAGGAGAACGGGAAGGAGCGAGCCAGAAAATGAGACCCTGCTGACCTGAGGTTGCTGGATGTGCTTGGAACAGACCTTGCCTTTGGAGAAAAAAAAAAAAAAACAAAAAAAACCAAAAACCAAAACAAAACCAAAGCACTCTCAGATGACAATTATTATTTTACGAAAGATTATTATTTTACGAAAGATTATTATTTTACAAGCACTGCCGAATGTTTAAGTGCCTGAAAATTATTCCTGTCATCGACAGCAGCACCGCCCCGGTGCTGCAGGTCAGTCCCTGGGGGGCTGCCGGGGCTGGGTGACCCCCTTGGCCAGGCTGCAGGTCGGGGTCTGCTCGGCCACCCAGGGGTGATGGCAGGGGTCCCCTCCCTGCTGTGGCGGTGGTGGTGTCCCCCCAGGAATGAGCATCCCTCGTTCAGGCTAATGAGGGGGGCTGGTGCCAGGCGGGCAGGGATGCTCCTGCGGCGGAGGGACCGCTCTGGAGCCGGGCGCCTCGTCAGCCCCCGGCCAGGCCAGCGCTTCCCAGTTGGGCATTTTCCCCTCTGCCCCTCGGAAGAGCTGGAAGATGCTGTTAAGGCCCTTTGCTCCCCACCCCTCGCCGTGACGTGAGCTCTTTCCCAGCCCAGCTGGTGCAATACCCTTGTAAAACAGGGGCCGGTATCACCCACGAGCACGCCACGGCAGGGAGCAGCCTCCCTTCGTCCCTGCAGAGCTCCAGGTTGTCTCGTCTCCTCTTTTCTCTCGGTCAGGGCAACCAGTTTTCCAGCCTCTTTGCGCAGTGATAGAAGTCTTCTGCCATCCTCCCACGGGCTCCTTCCAGCTCTGCTCTTCCCCTGCCACCTCGCTCCTCTGCTAGTTCTGCCTGATCCCCTCTTTGTGCAGCTGATTCTTCCCAAGCTCCAAGCTTTGCTTTTGTTTGTATTGAATTCCATCCTGGATTTTTTGGGATCCTTCTTCCAGTTCTCCAAGAGCTTTTGGAATTTTAATCCTGCTCTCGGATGTGTCTGCGGATCCTCCCAGCCTGCTCACATAGGGGGTTTTAATCATCATACCATCTACTCCATCATCCAGCTCGTTAACGAACAGCCTGAACTAAGCAGAGGCAGCGCAGACCCCTGTGCATTTTTACTGCGGCATGTGGTTTATTGCATATCCCTGCAAAGCCAGAGGGAAACTCGTGCCAATTTTTGCTGGCTCGGTAATGTGTGTTGGCCAATTGAAGAGACGATTGTAAAATATTTGGATGACTGTGAAATATTTGGACGATTGTAAAACATTTAATGAAGAAATAGATTTTGAACATAACACTGGAAAGCTGACAGCAAATCTAAATCACCCGCAGGACTGGGACAGGGACCTCTCCCCTAAGCTGGGGCAAGACAAAGTGCCTCGAGCAGATCAGAGGGCAGGGAGGGTTGGGGGGTGGTTTTGGGGTGACGTGTGGGGTCCCATGTGCTGGTACCTGAATAGGCAATTGGTGAGCTAGTCCAGAAGAGCACCAGTATCATGCATGTAGCTTATGCAGGAGCCCAGTGCTTAAGCCTGGACTTTCCCCAGTAAAGATATCATTCTTCTTATTTTCAGAGAAAATACTCTTTTTAAGTGTTTTCCACCAGCAGGTAAAGAAAATACCTCTGGAGGTGCAGTGCAATGACCTCTCTGTGCCTGAAAGAGGCTGCCCCATCATACTGTGTCCAGCTGCCTAATCCAAGCTTACTTGAGCCCAGCTCAGCCCTGCGTTGCCCGCAGCGATCCTTCCCTCCCCGCCGGGCTGGGAGAGGTGAGATGCTCCTGCTGGGCTGGGGAACAGAGAGCTTCGAGCCCCTGGGCTGCTGAAAGCAGCCAGCTTACTGATTTTTCCAATAGGGAAGCTGCTTCTAAGAATATAGATAGATGGTATTTTAAGGGGCTGTCTCCAGCCAAGCGAGCCGTTTGCGGGTGGCCGGTGTGGACCTCACTGGGGTGGGATGGGAGCGGGAGGAGGGGGTGCCCCACGGCACTGCCAGCACCCCAAAGCAGGAGCTCTCCCGTGCTGCTGGCCCTTGTTTCTGCGTTGCTGGTTTGGGTTAAAAAGGAATCTTGTTTCAAGTTAATTTAGACCCGTTCCCAATCACAACAAGCCGAAGTAATCTAATCTGCTGAGAAACCCTCGCCGGAGACTTTGCCTTGCTGGAAACAAGTTTGTTTAAATCAACGCTGAAAGCTAAACTAGTGACAATTTCTCGTGTGTGTGTGTGAAGCATCGTAGCGAAAGCGCTCGGAGCAGAGCGAGGCGGCCAGGAAGGGCCCTCGTGGCTCCCTCAGCCTGGCTGCCCCCCACCGCCCTCCTGCACGGCTGGCTTTTACTATCCCTTTTCTAAAGATGTCCCATCCAGCACAGTTTGAGCCCCGTTTGTAGCGGCAAACACGAGGGTGAGTGCGTTTTGCTGCTGACAGCCGACTTCATTTCTATTAGCAAGGCACTGACACACGGGTTGCGGCGTCCACGGGGATGTTTCTGGGGTCAGCGTGGTGTACAAGCGCGGGGACAGCATCTGTTTCTTGGCAATGAAATGTTTGTCTTGAATGGCGAAAGCGGGGTGCTGGCTGAGGACTGAGCTGATGGCCCGTTCACAAAGCAAAAACCCAGGGGGTTATTCCCAGGGAAAATGGCATTTCTGGCTTTCTGTCGGGGGGGGACGGGGGCATCTCAGGGGGAAAAGGGGAGCGTGCAAGGCACTGGCCCCACAGCTGCGCGGAGAAGCTGCTGCCGCCTTTGCCCCTTTGCCTTCCTGATAACCCACCGTGCCCAGGGGCCGTGGGGCGATCGGTCTGGGAGCAGGCACGCACCCCAAAAAGCAGGTACCCCCACGTGCCCGTCCACGTGCTGGAGCGGCTCCAGGTTTCCTCGGAGAGCCAGGGCCGTATCAGCTAGGAATGCGCGTTGCTTCTCATCGTGGTGGGCCACGGATGAGCTGTTCAGTTCTTTTGGAGCGTTGTACAGGTGTGCCGGGCTGATGGTGATGCTGCTCTGACCTCTCTCTTTCAGCCGGGGTTGGGGGCTGTGCCTGGATGACCCCCCTGCCCGGGAGGTGCTGGACTACCCCTTGGTACCCCCGGGCGTCCTCTACGACGTGGGCCACCAGTGCCGGCTGCAGTACGGCGCCTACTCCACCTTCTGCGACGACATGGATGTAAGCCCGGGTGTCACACCCGCCCCCCCAAACATAACACGGGCTGGTGCGGCTCTGAGGGGCTCTCTGGGGGCGGGGGGCTCTGCACGGGGCGATGCTCTCCCTGCGAGTTTAACCCGTGCCGATGGGTCGGCCGGTGCAGTAACCGTGTCCTGCGCAACCGTGTTTTTCTGCAGAGCGTCTGCAACACGCTGTGGTGCACGGTGGGGAACACGTGCCACTCCAAGCTGGACGCCGCCGTCGACGGCACGGCGTGCGGGGAGAACAAGGTAATGGGGAGCCGACCCCTCCGCGGCTGCAGAGACCCCCTTGTCCTGCCTGCAGAGGAATTTTGGAGCCTCGGGCACACGGGCCCACCTCCCTGCCCTGGCTCTGCCCAAAGCCCCGCTGCTGCCGGGGAGGGACTGCCTCCTGCAAAGCTGAAAATGCCTTAAGAAGGTGAAACCCGCAGTTTATCAGGAGAGCACAAGGCTTGTCCTGCTCTCCAGCTGCTGCAGTGGTGGGTGCTTGGCTCTGGGAGCTCTGAGGTACTGGGAGGGGGGGGTGTCTGGCAGCACCCACAGCAGCATGGGTTGTGGAGGGGACCAGCTCTCCCACAGCCAGCTCCGATCACCCTTGCGTGGGTGACACTGGCTCCCGTACCGTGGGACAGAGCTGTCACACATTGCTGGGTTTTCCTGCCCGACGTAGCATAAAACTGTAGTTATAAAAAGTAGATGTCTCTCCTCGTTAGGTTGAGTGCCCCCTCCCAAAGCCCTGGCCCCAGAGCACCGGGGATGACCTTGTGCTTAGCCGTTGCTCCCTGCGAAACCTCCTGCCGTGCCTTTGGCCGTGGCCGTGGCGCGCTGGCTCTTCCCTCTGGGCTGAGAGCAGGCTATGGATCCCCTCGCTGAGGGGTCTCTGTGGAGGTTTGGCTATGTTGCCTCAGACAAATCCTCAAACAGCCCGACGTCTCTGAATTTCCCATTGCTTAGAGGTGTGCTGGGCTCTGGCAGAGCCCAGCGAGCCCCCCAGGCACCTCCGTGCGAGCAAAGCCGGAGCTTTCACGGGGTGCTGGGCTTCAGTGCTCCCCGCCGCCGAGCTCTCTGACTCGACACCCACTCCTGCATCCTTAAACCTTGTTTTCTCTTCTTCTGGCCCGTCCCTTTGCAGTGGTGCTTCAACGGCGAGTGTGTGCCCGTGGGCTACCGTCCCGACGCCATCGACGGGGGCTGGGGCTCCTGGAGCTCGTGGGCCTCCTGCTCGCGCAGCTGCGGCGCGGGCGTGCAGAGCGCGGAGAGGCAGTGCAGCAGCCCCACGTAAGCCAGCGCTCGCTCCCCCCCCCGGAGCTTGATCCCATTTAGGAGAGGAGCCCAACGCTCCCTTATCACCCCGTGAAGCCAGGGAGCATCGTCCGGCCAGCGCGGTCCTGTCCCTCTCCGCATTGCGCGGCAGAACCGCGCCGTTACGCAGTGGCCGGTCTGAACAACGTGCTTCTGAAGCACCCGGGGGGGATTCGTTTCCCCGGGGTTATCCAGCCAGCCAGGCAGCAGGAGCCTCTAGAGTTTGCTCTGTCTCCTTCCACAGATCAATCTCTCCCACTCGGTGCAGGCAGAGCGGTTGCAATACGGCTCAAACACAGAGCAAAGCCCCCACGCTCGTAGATGTAAAGCGCGTTTGCTGTCCTTTAATGATAGAAAAGAAAAGCAGGTCACCTTTGAGCCCGATGCAGAGTCCTTTTGAAAAATCCAGCTGATCACCCCATCGCTTTCCATGAGCAGTTTCTGGCCTGTGCCCGGCTGGAGGCTGCCTCCTCTCGCCTGGAAGGGTCCGGGCACTGACGGAGGAGCAGCATTGTCCATCCTGTGATTTCGGGACCGAGCCATCTGCTCCCCAGATGTCCCCTTTGTCACCCGGTCGCTGTTGTATTGGATTCAGGCAGAGCCTCGGGTCGCCCAGGTGTCAGCACACCCTGGAACGAGGAGAGAAAAGGGCTTTGTGAGCCCTGTCCCAGTGGCAGTCGGTTTTCAATGGCTTGAGGAGCTCTGAAAGCTGTGGGAGCAGGCTGGCTAATGAGCCCAGGTGTGGTTTCTGCCCAGCCTTTTCCTTGGGCACGTTGTTTTTAGCACATGCTGTTGAGCTGTTTAAAGAAGCGCTGTGTAATCTCCGTCCCAGGTCAAGAGCTGGGTTTGTGTTTGACATGAGTTTTGTGGCAGAAGTGCAATTGTAGTTTATGGAGTGTTTTAAACACAGCTGCGGGCAGGCAGGAGAGCAAACACTGGAAAAGCAGCAGAATTTCCCCGGGCAGCTGTTTGCTTTGGCCACTGTAGGTAAATCTTCAGCTTTGCCTTTTGGATGGAGTGAACAAATGTGAGTGCTGGGCAGTCCTCCTCCCGCAGGCATTTCCTCAGGGAAGGGTATGTAAACACAACCCTAAAATAATAATTAACTTTACTCTCTTCAGCAAAGTGTGCCCAGACTTAACTAATCAGGGGAAAAGTAATTTTCATGAGGTCATGGGGACGTGGTCCATGAGGAGTGCTGTGACCAAAGGAAAAGGCGAGCGTCAGGAGACAGTAGCAACGTTCTGAGAGTCTGTCAGCATCTGAGAAAAAGCTGTCGTTGCTTTTAGAGTCCCTTCTTACCTTAGAAAGTCCAGCAGCAGCTTTGCTGTTCCCTCGGGCGGTAGAGGAAGCGCATCCCGGGTGGAATGGAGAGCAGCTCCTCCCCAGCAGCCGCGGGACGGGCCCCGGGCTGAGCTGGCCCATGGGACCACTGGCACCCTGGCACCCAGCCTGGTGATGGGGATGTTTTACCCCCTGGGGAAAGGTGCCCGGCTGCAGGAGAAGGGGGACTTTGGACATGAACCGGTGCCGGTGTTACCTGACTTTGATAGCTGCTTTTATAGCATTGTACACTAGACCTATAAAATTGGCCGTATTTCCAACATTTAGGGGAAGCTGTCAAGAGGGACAAGACCCAAGATGTAGCTGATCTGGCTTGGGAGCCGTCACTCAGCAAAAGCTGCCTTTGGTCCACGGTCTCGCCCTGTAGCACAGCCCGGCAGCAGCGGCAGGGGGCTGGCTCGGGAGGGACTTGTCGAAGAAGGATGTGGGCTGCAGTTTCCCCGCGTTGCAAAAGCTTGCTCTGCGGAGCGGGGATCCTTCTGGGGTGGATGTTGGGTTCACAGCCAGCTTCCTTCCACGAGCACGGCAGCAGAGCGATGTGTGGGTTAGAACTGGGAGAGCTCCCTGTTGACTTCAGGTGGGTTCAGGCTTGACCCAACCTCGTGAGATTCAAACCTCCGCGGCAGGTACAAAACCCCCCTCCCTTAGCTGGGAATAAAAAGGGAGTTTCCCCTTGTGTGTGGTAGGTCCTTATTTGATAGGACAGGGGTAATGGTTTAAAACTGAGAGAGGGGAGATTTAGGTGAGATCTAAGGCAGAAATTGTTCCCTGTGCGGGGGGGGAGGCGCTGGCCCAGGGTGCCCAGAGCAGCTGTGGGTGCCCCCTCCCTGGAAGGGTTCAAGGCCAGGTTGGACGGGGCTGGGAGCCCCCTGGGCTGGGGGAAGGGGGCCCTGCCCGGGGCAGGGGGTGCCACTGGGGGGGCTTTGAGGTCCCTTCCCACCCCAAACCCTTCCACGGTTCTCTGATTTTCCCTTTTCCCTCCCGCGGACAGGCCGAAGTACGGGGGCAGGTACTGCCTGGGGGAGCGGAAGCGGTTCCGGATTTGCAACGTGAGGCCATGTCCCCCCGACAAGCCCTCCTTCCGCCAGGTCCAGTGCAGCCAGTTCAACCCCATGCTCTACAAAGGGAAACTCTACAGGTGGACACCGGTGCCCAACAACAGTGAGTCGAGGGCAAAGCCCGCTGCTGGGTTACTGCCTGAATAAAAAACCCGAAACGCAGTCTTGCCAACGGCTTGATTTTGCTGTTCTTGTCTGTGAGATTTGCCTTGCAGCGTGTTTATGCCCTATTTTAAATTCTGGCTGGGCTTGCAGGGTTAATTTATGTTTTCGGAGATGGTTACGTGGCCCCCCAGCTGCTCGGGTTTAGTTTCTGCCTGTTGGGTTCCCCAGTTAACCCCTGCGAGCTGCACTGCCGGCCGGAGGACGAATACTTTGCAGAAAAGCTGCGGGACGCCGTCATCGACGGGACGCCGTGCTACGAGATGAACGCCAGCCGCGACATGTGCATCAACGGCATCTGCAAGGTGGGTCCGGCGCCGGGCCCCCCTGGGGAGGGAGCCCCAGGACCCCCCCCGTGCTCCGGGACACGCAGGCGGGCGCCGTGACCCCCAGCCCTAAGGTGAACAGCGTCCCCGCTCGCGCAGGCGCCGACCGGCTGAGCTTACTCGTTTTGCCCGTCGCCACCCAGAAAGCTTTCATTATTTCTGTGAGGTGTCTGGCCTGGGCTGGCCTTGGGGAAATAGAGCACAAACCCAAGGAAAAGAAGGAGGTAAAAGTTTCACTCAAAAACAAGGTCAGGGATAGGAAAGGGGGTGTAGAGAGGGTGCCCAGCCCAGCCCTGCACCCCGAGTGCAGCCGGTGCTGGCGGCCACGGGTCCGACCTGCGGCGATGGAGGTGCCTCCCCTGTCTTGGCAGCCTCTCCCAGCATTGGGATTTGTCCTTCCTTCTGGGATGTTATTTTTCTTCCTTGGAAGCTCCCTTCAAACGTGTTGCGATGTGCAGCAGCGTCGCTCTGGCTGCCGGCCGGGCAGGGCATCTCCCAGTGTGGGAGGCACAGGAATGTGGTGAGGAAGGCACGGGAATGTGGTGAGGAAGGCACGGGAATGTGGTGAGGAAGGCACGAGAATCTGATGAGGAAGGCACGAGAATCTGGTGAGGAAGGCACGAGAATCTGGTGAGGAAGGCACGAGAATGTGGTGAGGAAGGCACGAGAATCTGGTGAGGAAGGCACGGGAATGTGGTGAGGAAGGCACGAGAATCTGGTGAGGAAGGCACGGGAATGTGGTGAGGAAGGCACGAGAATCTGGTGAGGAAGGCACGGGAATCTGGTGAGGAAGGCACGGGAATGTGGTGAGGAAGGCACGGGAATGTGGTGAGGAAGGCACGAGAATGTGGTGAGGAAGGCACGGGAATCTGGTGAGGAAGGCACGGGAATCTGGTGAGGAAGGCACAGGAATGTGGTGAGGAAGGCACGGGAATGTGGTGAGGAAGGCACGGGAATGTGGTGAGGAAGGCACGGGAATGTGGTGAGGAAGGCACGGGAATGTGGTGAGGAAGGCACGGGAATGTGGTGAGGAAGGCACAGCTGTGAATCATCTGGGAGATGCTGGTGTGACTGGGAGGCTTTGCCCTGGGTCCGCCAGCTGCCTTTGCTCATGCCACGATGGTCCTTTCGTTCACAGCTTCCCTTTCCCTAGGGAAGCAGCCCTGAGGTTTAGAAATAAACACACATGTAGGACACTGAATTTCTGTTAAGTTAGGGAATGGGGGGCAATCTGAGCTGCCATGGTGCTGGCAGGGCAGATTCCCACCCCGGGACGTATCGAAGCCGCGCTGCTGCAAAGCTCACGGCTGTGTGTCACCAGGGACTGACACGCAGAGGGGGGATACGGTCAGGTTGCTGTACTGTTAGTTAAAGATGGTCTCTGAAAGGCTTTTTAGAAAAATAAGCCTCTGCAGGAGATGTAGAGAGTTTCTACAGAGTTCTAGAGAGTTTCAGCAGAATGTAAAAAAAAACGTTTTCAGGAAGTGTTTTGAAGCAGGACTAGCAGGGCCAAGGACCAAGGGGCTTTCCCAGCTTGGTTCAGCACATAACATGTGCCAACAGGCTCTGCTGCGGGGGGACTTGGGTAGGAAAAGGTCCAAATGAGATGTGGATCATGATCCTCACTGTGTATGCAGGACAGCAGGGCCGTGAGGATATGTTAGAGAAACTCATACTGCAGCCAACGTGGTTGTATCGCTGCCCATCCTGCAAAAAGACTCGCCCCTCTCTCCCACCCACGTTCCTCATTTCCCACCATTTAGGACCAAGGCCAAGGGGCTTTGGCTGCGGTCTGCTGCTTGTAGTGCCCGGGAGCCCGTGTCCTGGCTGGACTGGTGTTGCTTCCTTCCAGCCATCCATCCATCCATCCCTCCATCCCTCCCTCCCTCCATCCCTCCCTCTGTCCATCCCTCCCTCCATCCATCCCTCCCTCCATCCATCCCTCCCTCCCTCCATCCATCCATCCCTCCCTCCATCCATCCATCCATCCCTCCCTCCATCCATCCATCCATCCATCCCTCCATCCATCCCTCCACCCACCCATCCATCCCTCCATCCATCCCTCCCTCTGTCCATCCCTCCCTCTGTCCATCCCTCCCTCCATCCATCCCTCCCTCCATCCATCCGTCCCTCCATCCAACCATCCCTCCCTCCATCCATCCCTCCCTCCATCCATCCGTCCCTCCATCCCTCCATCCATCCCTCCATCCATCCCTCCCTACATCCCTCCACCCATCCCTCCATCCATCTCTCCATCCATCCATCCCTCCATCCATCCCTCCATCCATCCCTCCACCCACCCATCCATCCCTCCATCCATCCCCCCATCCATCCCCAGGCATCCCCACTTTGCAGCGACATATTCAGGGTCGTTTCCCAGCCCAGTTAAGCTCCGTAGGTCTCATCACACACGTGTCGGACTGACACTGGGTATCCAGCTCTGCTTTTCCTACCGGGTACCCTGGGAGCACTGGTGCCGCTGGGCTCCGTGAGGGCATCGGTGCCTCAGCAGAAGTCAGCTCTCGACTTGCAGTTCCAGTGCTGGTTTCCTGGGTTTTTTTCCCCTGTTTTTGGTGGCTCAAGCTTACCTCAGCGCTCCTGACGCCCGGCGGTTGGGTTGGGTTTTGCTTTGGCCGATGGCACAGTGTGGGGTCGCGGGTGGCTGACGGGGCTGCCTTGCAGAATGTGGGCTGCGACTACGAGATCGACTCCAACGCGGTGGAGGACCGGTGCGGCGTCTGCCATGGGGATGGCTCTACCTGCCACACCGTCAAGAAGACCTTCGAGGACAGCGAGGGGCTGGGTAAGGGTGCTCAGCTCCGTCCCCAAATCACCAGGTGCCTGTTCCGCCCGGAGCCGGGCTCGCTGCTGCCGCTCGTTTGCAGTGTGGTTTTTAATCCAGACTCAGGCATTTTCATGGGGTAAGACCCGAGCGGCAGCACAGGGAGATGTGGCGTTGCCTTTCCCCTTCTCGCTCCTCGGAAAAAAAAATACCTGCTTCCTGCTCTTTGTGTCTAAAGGCCTGCAGACAAATCTGGGCACGCTGGAGCCAGTTTGGAGAGGTTTAAGGGGATTTTGTGGGTTGACAAGGGCATGTTGAAAGTGCGGTAAACGCCTTGCCAGCGCCGGTGTGGGAAATGTCTCGCTCTGCCACGGGCTCTCCCAGCTGGGAACGCAGCTGGGCTCGGTGCAAGGTGGGCTTTGGTGCCCACTGGTGCCTTGCAGAGGGGTAAGGATCGGCATGCTGGCACCCGAGGGACGCTAGCACCCACCCTAGGGACTCTAGCACCCACCCAAGGGTGCAGATCATCTCTCCCACACCTTTGACTCCCCCAAGACCAATGCTCGGTTCCATTCCCAGGTTACGTCGATATTGGGATTATCCCCGTGGGAGCCCGGGAGATCCGGATTGAAGAAGTCGCAGAAGCTGGGAATTTTCTGGCGCTGCGGAGCGAGGACCCGGAGAAGTATTTCCTGAACGGCGGCTGGACCATCCAGTGGAACGGGGACTACAGGGTGGCGGGGACCACCTTCACCTACAAGAGGACGGGGAACTGGGAGAACCTCACCTCCCCAGGGCCCACTGTGGAGCCGGTGTGGATCCAGGTACAGTCTGGGATCTGCTGGTGGTGGGGGGGTGTATGGCGGGGGGGAGGTGGGGGGTGAGGGGGGACAGAGCCACTGGATCCTGCCTCCCCGTGCGGGGCTGAGCTGCCGGGTTCTGTCACAGCACTCCACAGCTGTGCGAGGGACGGGGTCACGTTTTTCTGGGAGCCAACGCCGGGAGCAGCCGAGCACGCACTGCTGGCCCGAGGAGCGTGTTTCCAGCCCACGCCGCTTCCAGCTGAGCCACATCCCCTTTGCAGCATTCCTCAAAATATTTACACAGCAGAGAGAGCGCGAGGAGAAGGAGCCCGTTTCCTGAGGCCTTTCCCATATCTTATCGGGAGGAGGGGAAGAGCCCGCGGTGCTTCTGGCGGGGCTGGAGCAGCCGGGGAGCCGTCGCGGTGGCAGAGGGGGGCCCACCGGCACCCCTCGGCAGTGCCACGCTCCCGCCGGCGCCGTGGCGAGGAGCTCGGCCCGTGGGGTCCTGCTCTGTGGTCCCAACCCGGGTGATGCTGCCCAGGTCAGGCCCCGCTTCCTCGCAAAAGCCCTTGAGGTAGGAGGTAAAAATCCAAAAGGATCATTTGCAATCCTTTTCCAAACAGCTAGACATTTCAAGTTTTACTTTTTTTTTTTTTTTTTTTTTGCATGCGGGAATTTCCATAAAACTACTTCCCTTCCCAGCATAAGTGGTTATTGTTCATCAGCCCCCCCAAGGCTTTGAGGAGGTGAGCCCTGTCGGGGAGTGATGCTGCCTGGTGTCAGGCACAGCTCCCAGGGCAGGGGAGGGCACCCAGGACCCGCCACTCTGCCCGCCTGGGTCTGGGCAGGAGACGTTACAATTAACCACATGGTCCAAAACCAAAACAAAATTAAAAAGAAAACTGCACTGCAGCAGTGTATTTCCAGGATAGCAGAGTCGTGAGCAGGAGGAGACCGTGTGCCCGTCTCCTGCTCCCGACAGGCATTGCCTCCAGCAGACAGCTCGTGCAGAGCGGGCAGTGGGGCGCCAGACTTACACCTGGCAGATAATGAACTTCAGGGGTGATTTATTTCCACGTGCCCTGCTCACCCTGATGCTCCTTTTACCTCCGGGTCGGCAGGAGAGTCTCCGTCTTTGCCCCAACAAGGGGAGCACAGAGCTGCTTCCCCGAGCTCGCGTGGCTGCCCAGGGACCGCTCCTGCCCCGAGCCCCCGGCCGCCGCCCCCGCTCCCCAGGAACCCCCTTCTCAAATTCACACATCCTGCAAACACTTCTGATACGAGCCCAACCTGACCGTCGCTAATCCCCTCCTCCGCTGCAGCTCTCGCGCTTATCTGGAAGTTGCCTTATTTTGCAAACCGATCCCACTCTTTGTTACTTTTCACCTTGTTTCCACGGAAAAGGCTTTGCCCGGGGCGGGGGGTGACTTGTCGGCGTGGCTTTGCGTTTCGGTGAGCTTTGTGCAGCTTTGCAGGGGTTAGAACGGGCGGTGGGATGGCAGCGTGGTGTGGGGGGCTCGGGGGTCATCCCCGCCGGGCAGGGGTCTCTCAGGGGGGCTGCTCGCTGCTGCGGCTGTCCCTGTCTCTGCAATTCTCACCCCCCCCCCCCCCCCGGGAACGGCCACCAGGATGGTCAGGAGTGGGGGGATCCCCCAGTTAACGCGGGGTCCGTGAAGCCAAGCTTTCCCGCGGAGAAGCCGGTGGGAATCGTCCCACAGCCGGCACCGGGCTGAAATTCCTCGTGGTGCAAAGTGTGTCGCAGAGGTGGTGACCGCCACGGAGGTACATCAGCCCCCCCAGCCCCAGCAAACACAGCTCAGCCCAGTGCACGCTTCCCGAGCATCGGCCCCCGGCGCGGAGGCTCGCCCTGGAGCAGCCAAAGGCTTCGCCTTTTGCGTTTCTTTCAGCAGGGGCTCGGGGTGAAACGTGAGCGGGGTCCCGGGCTCATCTGCCACCAAGTGCTGCTGTTAACGGGAACGCTGGCCTGCTCAGCACCCCCAAGTCATTTGCTGGGATTCGTAACCTGATTAAAACCTTTTGACAAAAACGTTTCAATATTCACGAAGAGGTTTTGGAAAGACGCCTTTGCTCCTGCCAGAGCTCCAAGAACAACAAAGCTTTGGCAATAATGGGATCACTTAGGCTAAGAAAAACAAGGTTAAACTCCCAGCCTTTGCCGAGCGCTGGCGCTTTGGGCAGGATTTGTGTCAACGTCAGGCGCCGCTTCGTGCGCGTTGAGAGCCGCGGGAGCCCGTTTCAAGCGGGGAGCACTTGGGGAATTTCCTTCAGGCCATCAGCCACCGCCGGCGTTTGCTGCCGGGCAGCTCCCTCCCGTTTGGCACAGCCCCTCCGAGCGGGGTGTCCCACGGGGTGGGAGCCCCCCCAAGCTGTGGGGCACGGGGCTGGGCAGGCTGCAGCCCCGAGGCGGTCGAGCCCCTCGCTTGGTGCCACCCGGGGCACGTCGGCGACCAGTTGGAGGTGCAAACAGGGACCAGCACCGGCATCTGGAGCTGAGATGTGCTGCCGTGCTTTGCCAAGGTGGTTGCCGGAGCACGACGCTCCCTGCGACACGTGGAAGGGGGATTTGGGTCCTCGTGCTGCCGTCTGCTTCCCTTCCTTCTGCCACCAGCCCAAAGGACAGGTTGCTGTGACTGCTGTTCCCCTGAGTGTCCTTCCAGCCGGGCCAGCCACCCTCAGCCCAGCAGACGGGGCTGGCAGCAGTCAGAGCCCCCTCCTCCAGCTGTAAAAATCCCTCGCTGAGCATTCCGGAGCGATGGAGGGAGGCAGAGGTTGCTCAGTGTGCTCCCCACGGGCTGCAGACCCCGGGCTGGGCTGGTGACAGGGGTGGCACATGTGAAACCTCCTGCCCCAGCTCCGACTGCAGGGAAGGGGACGGAGAAGGGGAAATCTGGCCATCCTGGGCGTTTCATGGTGCTGAACCTCAAGAAGCTCCTCGGATGGGGCTGCGCGCAGCGGTGGGACTGAGCAGGACTAACAGGGGAAGCCTTCTTTCCAGGCTTTTATGTCACCAGGGGAGACATAAACCCAAAGTTCTGGTGGTTCTCAACCTCCTCGCTGTTGTTTTTTATTATTACCTGGCGTTTCCACAAGCGCAGCGCTCCGAGCAGGGGCAGCCCCTCTGCTCCTGCGCTGCTTTGGCCACCGCTAACCCCGTTTCTGAAACGGCCGTGTGCTACTGCGGGGGTAGAGCAGCAGGAGCCATCGCTGCCCTCCCCGCCAACAGGCAGCACGAGGGGACAAACTCAGCCCGTGGTGCAGAGCTGGGTGTGGAATGATGTCTTTGTGGCCGTGCTAGGCAGGTTGTTCCCTCCTGAAAAGCCCCCGGGGTGCAGCGGCCAACAACAAAACAACCTGGGGTGCGCTGGCTGTCCCCCCGCCCCGACTGCCTGTTGTCTCCCCACAGCTGCTGTTTCAGGAGACCAACCCCGGCGTGCGGTACCAGTACACCATCCAGCGCCCGGCCAACAGCGAGAACGAGCTCGAGCAGGCTGAGTTCCTCTGGCGCTTCGGCTCCTGGACCACGTGCACCGCCACGTGTGGGACCGGTGAGTCCAGCATCCGCGGGACCCCGGGGCTCGGCAGGCAGGGGCATCCCGGCACCGTGGGGGTGCCTCAGAAATTCCTGGGTCTTGGGTTTCCAGAGGGTTTGAGGGGAAAAAAAAAAAAAAAAAAAAAAAAAAGAAACAACAAAAAACAAGTGACATCTGCCGAGGTCACCACTCTCCAGTGCTCCTTGCTCGGTGTCCTGTTACCGCGCCGGGTGTTCCTCGGCGTCGGGGTGATGGAGACAAAAGAGCTTTGGAGAAATCCAGGGGGTGTGGAAGGGCCCGTCTCCCGCCAGGCTGGGCCTCTCCAGTGTCCCAGGGTTTTGTGGAGAGCACATGGGAGGGTGCCCGGTGTGGGCTGCGCTGCCGGGGGGTGTCAGACACTTGTTTCCCCCCCCTTTCCACCCCACTGCACCCCCGGCTGGGCGTCCCAGGGCCCCCGCGGCAGCTTTTGGGGTGACTATTGGGAGGGGATGGTGGGGGTAGGCTGTGACCAGTGAGTGCTTCCTCCAGAGTGGCTGCCGCTGGAAAAAAAAAGGGAATTCAGGGATATTCATCCTTTCTAGGTGGCACAGAGTGCCAGGAGGTGTTTCCTGCCTGCTCTGGAGATTGGTGTGGATTCCTGCTTGGAGCGGGGGGGTCTTGGTGTGGCAGGAGCTGGTGCAGCATTTTACATACGCTGAGAGCTCTTCGCTGTGGGTCTGCATGGGCCCCGCAGTGCGGGGAGTCGAGCAGGACAGGCAGGCACTTGCTTTTGTTTAAAGCCAGCTTTCCTCCACGAGGTTGGAGTGCTTGGCCTCCAGAACAGAAGGGAAACCCAGGAGCAAATCAGGCAGGAGTCAGGTGAGGATGCTCGCCCCGTCCGGCTGCAGGCAGGTGGCTGGATGATGGTGCAAGCTGAGCCGCGGATTTGGGAACACTCAGGCTGAGCCTCTTCTGCAGGACCCAGCCCCAGGGCCCCGTAAGCTCCGGAGCGCTTGAGCCAGGGCACACCTCAGCAGCTTCAGCGGGGTCGTATCGATCTCAGCTGATGGCAGCGGTTAATATTTACAGCTCGCCCAAGTCACGGGTCAAGTATGTGTTGCAAAAAGGAGGACAAAAGCAGGCAGCGAGGCAGCGTGTTGAGGGTGAAGTCATCCTGAAAGATAATCGTCCCTTGAGCGGTGCAGACGGGGGGCAGGAGGCTTCGGCGGGTGATTTATCCGTGAGCTGTGGCTGGGGCAGAAGGCTGCCAAAAAAAGAGCTGTGCTGCTGCCAGCTGGCTCCGCTTCGGAAGCCTCTGTGTGTGTGTGTGCGTGTGTGTGCGTGCGTGCACATACGTGCACACCCGTGCTCGGATGGCTGGATGTGGCTCTGCACGGGGGTGCCAGGACGATGCTCCCCCACGGGCTGCGCCATTGCTACCGTTGGCCGTCCGGCCCCACACAGGATCCTCCACGGGGCTCTGGCAGCCCCAAACACACGATGCATCCTGCTCCACGGCTGCAGAGGCTTTTGGCAAGGGGAGAGCTGGGGAAAGGCTTTTCCCCCTGGCCAAGGGGTCCCTCCGGTGTTTTCTGCAAAGCCTCCACCAGCTGCATCACTTCAAATCCCACTGGGCATCTTGTGGAAGGGCGTTCTTCCAGATCTCTTTCATCTCACTGCTGGCTATAAAGGCTGTAGGATACTAAAGGTTTTACTCCAGAGATTTCTGCTCAGCAGCTCGCCCAGCGATGCCCCTTGCATTGCCTGTGACCAAAGGATGCAGCTGGAGGCCACCAGGACCGAGCTGGGTCATTGCAGGAATCTAAGAGTCGAGCCAGCAGAAAGGTGGTGACGTTCCTGCTTTTCACCCCTCTTGTCCCTTTGAACTGCTCGGGACAGAGACCAAGCACCGGGAGGGCGAGCAGAGATGTCCCATGGAGTTCGCGAGGTTGAAGCAAGCCACCTCTCTGACTTTGGGGTCTCCTGACAGTTCTGGACATGGTTGTCCTCACCTTGCCTTCTGTGGAAACTCTTGCCATTCCATATGTGCTTCCTAAGCCCTGAAAAACAGGAATAATATGGCAGCTTTTTTCTAAGGGAGAACAAGATTTGCTAACTCTTTCTGTGATCTGTTTTTCGCTTTCTGGGTGAGCAGCCCTGGACTCGGTCTCAGGGCAGGAGCCAAGGTTTGCTTTGTGCTGGACAGACAGACGCCGTGTCCCACCAGCCCCAGGGAGGGGCTTTGGCTGCGGTCTGCTGCTTGTAGTGCCCGGGAGCCCGTGTCCTGGCTGGACTGGTGTTGCTTCCTTCCATCCATCCCTCCATCCCTCCACCCATCCGTCTGTCCATCCCTCCATCCCTCCACCCATCCAACCATCCATCCATCCATCCGTCCGTCTGTCCATCCCTCCATCCATCCCTCCATCCCTCCATCCATCCGTCTGTCCATCCCTCCATCCCTCCACCCATCCAACCATCCATCCATCCATCCGTCCATCTGTCCATCCCTCCATCCATCCCTCCATCCATCCCTCCATCCCTCCATCCCTCCATCCATCCGTCTGTCCATCCCTCCATCCCTCCACCCATCCAACCATCCATCCCTCCATCCATCCGTCTGTCCATCCCTCCATCCCTCCACCCATCCACCCACCCATCCACCCATCCCTCCCTCCATCCATCCATCCATCCATCCATCCATCCATCCATCCATCCATCCATCCATCCATCCATCCATCCATCCATCCATCCATCCATCCATCCATCCATCCCTCCCTCCCTCCCTCCATCCATCCATCCCTCCATCCATCCATCCCTCCGTCCATCCCTCCACCCATCCATCCCCCCATCCATCCCCAGGCATCCCCACTTTGCAGCGACATATTCAGGGTCGTTTCCCAGCCCAGTTAAGCTCCGTAGGTCTCATCACACACGTGTCGGACTGACACTGGGTATCCAGCTCTGCTTTTCCTACCGGGTACCCTGGGAGCACTGGTGCCGCTGGGCTCCGTGAGGGCATCGGTGCCTCAGCAGAAGTCAGCTCTCGACTTGCGGTTCCAGTGCTGGTTTCCTGGGTTTTTTTCCCCTGTTTTTGGTGGCTCAAGCTTACCTCAGGGCTCCTGACGCCCGGTGGTTGGGTTCCATTTCCACCCCGAGCCAGGCCCTTGCGTGTGTCCGCAGGGGTGCAGCGGCAGGTCGTGCACTGCGTGGAGAAGCTGGCCGGCATCGTGGAGGAGCGGTACTGCGACGCGCTCACCCGCCCTGACGACCAGCAAAGGACGTGCAGCGAGGAGCCCTGCCCGGCCAGGTCTGCTGGCGTTCCCCTCGCTCCTCCCCAGCCAAATTTTAATGCCCAAACCGCCCTAGGGGGGGGTGACCGGGGTCGGGGGAACCGTGCCCGGATCGCACCGGGGCACGTGCAGCTGCTTGCACCCCTCCTTCGTGCTTGAGAACGGGTCCCAGACCCCGCGGCGGTCCATGGGAGCAAATCCCAGCGGTTGCCTGAGCGCCGCAGTGTGTTGCTCGTCTGCAGACCACGCGCTGCAGGGCCAAGGCTCCCCCCTCAGCCCCTGCAAACGGCCCTCCCCGGCACAGCCTGGGGACCGACCCATCCCCGCCCCTGGGCTGAAACGCAAGCCGCAGTTGGGACCCGAATTCCGCCCCCCCGGGCCCCGCCGCTCGTCATGGGCTGCTGAAGCCCACGTGTGGGTCTCCTGGCCCCAAACGCCTCTCGGCCGGTGGCTAAAACCCACCGCCCCACAGCGGGGCACGGGATGGAGCCCACCTGGTGGCCCCACACTCCGGCTGAGACCTTTCCCCTTTCCCGTCTCCCCAGGTGGTGGGTCGGCGAGTGGCAGAGGTGCTCGGCCACCTGCGGCCGGTCGGGGCTGATGAAGAGGACGGTGCTCTGCATCCAGAGCGTGGGGCTGGACGAGCAGAGGGCCTTGCAGCAAGCAGACTGCCAGCATCTCTCCAAGCCAGACGCCACCGCACCCTGTCACCGGGAGGTCCCCTGTCCCTCCCAGTGGGCCGTGGGGAACTGGTCCGAGGTGAGAAGGAGCATCGGGGAGGTCCTGGTGCCTTGCAAAGCTGGGGGGGGGGGGTGGGCTGGGGACAAGGTGCCCCCCAGACATCCTCAGCCTGCCCGAGGGTGGTGGGTGTGCTACTGCTTACAGGGAAAAGTCTTGGACGTGTTTCTGGTGGCTCACATCGTAACATCAGCTCCCACGGGCGGGAATTCCGTTGCACGGGGAGGTCTCGGGGTGAGGAGGGAGCACCGGGCTGTTTGGCTCTGCCCCGTCTCCCCTGAACCTTGCCGCTCCCTCGGCCAGGGCGATGGCCGCGCTCCGTGCTCGAGGCAAGGAGGGCAGGAACAAGAGGCTTTCAACCCTTCAGCGTGTTTTCCAGCACCGCATGTCTTCCCCTTTGTTTTGGCAGAAGCCTTAAAAATATATCTTGCAAGGTTTTAGGGGAAATCCAGGCTCTGGGTGCTCTGGGCACGGGTGCGCCGGCCAGTGGGCATCTGCTCCCCGGCAGCGTGACCTGGCGCTGGGGTGGGCAGAGACAGAGACCCCCCAGTGATGTCCCCAGGGAATGGAGGGGCCATCACAGGATTTTCAACAATTTTTTTAAAAAGAGAGGGAGAGACCAAGAAACCCCCCACGTATAAAGTGCCATGATCTGCAGACACCCTGTGCAGCCTTTATTTATTTTTGTATTTCTGTGGATCAGCTTAACCGCAGGTTGAGGGTTTTAACCAGAAGATTATAACTCCTAATTTAAGCAGTGGTTTCAAAAAGTGTTCAGCTTGAGGACAAATATCGGGAGAGAAATGGGAGAGCCTGGGAACTGAGCTTGTTGCTAAGAAACAAACGGAATAAAAATGCGAACAGAAAATTTAAAGGCTAAATGAGAGCTATTTAGAAATATTTTTCTAGGGGCCCACAGAAGCCACAATTGCAGGGCTGAGCGAGATGGCTGCAACAGTTTAAAGGGAAAGTCATGAATTGCCCACGGGTCTGTGCACCGAGCCAGCCCAGGCCATCACAGTCATCCTCTGTGGTGTTGACATCAACTGATCTGTGAGCCCAGGAAAAATGTGCTCGAGATTTTGAGATGTCTGTAATTTTTCCATCCTCCTTTCATTTAAAGCGAGAGCCCTCCTTCTCCTCCATTTCCACCAGCAAGTAGAGAAATTTGAGGGGCTTGGAAGCTTCCCAGAAACGTGGTCCTTCTGTCCAGCGATAATAACAGGGGGCTGTTGGTTTTGTTGTGCCCGCAGACCCTCGGGCAGGGCAGCCCGCCGGGTTCTGGCAGCGCCCCGCCAGCCCCCCAAAGCCAGAGGGGTCATCTGCAGTTTGGGCAGCCCAACAGAGTGCTCAAACACCGGGACTTTGTGCCTTCAGAAGGACCCTAAAGCAGTGCGCATCCAGCTTGAAGGACTTTCCAAAAGGAGTTAGCAGTGCAGTCAGAACTGTTATTTGCCGTCCGTTAATCCACGGGTGGGAGCACGTCCCGCCTGCTGTGAGGGCTCCTGCAGCGTGTGCTTGCTGCTGAACCCTCCTGCGAGCCCCGGGAGGCTCCTGACAGCCATCGCTTCTTATCTGCACCCCAGCAGCCTTCCTGACAACCCAGCCGTGGCAAATACGCCCTTTCTTTCCCCCTGCAAGAGCCGCGGTACCTGGAATTTATCTCCTGGATAGAGCTGAAGGCATTTGCCGAGCCATTTTAGCCGGAGGCGCACGCTGTGGGTGTTGGCCTCTAGTTTCCCCAATTTGGCAGTGCCATCCCAGCAGGGAGAGGCAGCCTGCTTGCCCCGCTCCCACCTGCAGTCGTGTGCAGTGATGTTTTATTTCATCAACATCGCGTCGCTGGTGGGAATGCCGGGCGGCAGCCACGCCGTGCTGCGGTCTGTCCCTCCCGCCCGGCGCAGTCCTCGGGGCCGTTTCTGCTCCCACCCGGAATTGCCCAGGGGACACGGAGCTGGGGAAGGCCCCGGCTGCTGAGTCAGCATCTCCTCCGGCCAGCCCCTGCCTGGGCGGAGGCGTCCTGTGGGGTGGGCACCCACCCAGGACCCCACCCCACGGGCGCAGGGAGCAGGACAGGTCCCGACCAGGCACCTGGCCCTCGTGAGGACTGAGCAAAGATGAGAAACACTCCCGTATTTCGAGCCTATCTTGTCTGAGGAGCACATCTCCCGGCCAGCCCACCCCAGCAGCTCTGCCTGGCCACCTTAATCTCTTAATTTCCACGTGCTGGCGGCTGCGCATCAGACCCTCGCCTCAGCCCATCTGTTTTCATCCAAATAGCAGGGATTTCAGGCAGAAATCCCCTCCTTTGGGTTTGTTTGCCTTCTTGACTGTTTGTTCTCCTTGGCCGGCTTGCACCAGGCGCTTTGATGTACGTGACTAATGCTCTGTGCATCTGTCACTGCAGACTGCAGCGGGCGGTGGCTTGCGAAGCCCCTGTGTGATGTTAGGAGCGCTGTGATTTACTTACCCAGCAGAAAATTTTGCCGTCCGCCTTTCCAGCTTGTGGGTTTCTTTTATACTGAACAATCTCAAAGAGGCCACTGTGGTGGAGGAGGGGGTGTCCTCAACAAAGCTGCTTATTGACTCTTGCTTTTTCCCTACTAGGACAACACCCATGTTATTATCCCCTGCTTCAAAAAATCCTCTTCTAGAAGAAGAGATGTAATTCATGGCAATAGGTCAGAGAAAAGACCTATTAGATCATCCTACCCAATGCCCTTCACAATGCCCCTCTCCCGGGAAAATTGTTTCTGGCTGGAGTGCAGGTCAAGGATCGCCCTGAGCAAAGTACCCTGCCACGCCAGCCCTGCCCTGGGACGCTCTCTGACGGGGAGACAGCCCCGGGGGGAGGTTTAACCAGTAATAACGCTGCTTACTGGTGTGACCAGTACCCCCTCCTCCTGACTCCTGGTACACCGGGGACCCCCTGGCCCAGCTGGGACTGGCACGGGAGATGTCCCGGGACCCAGGTGGGCGGTGGGAGCGTGGCGGAGCGACGGGGAGCCCCTTCTCCCCGTGCCGTAAGCATCGTGGCGATACCGCTGCGGTATCTCGGAGGGGAGCACCAGCCCCTTCCCCGCTCCTCCTGCCGCCCCCGGCATCGCCCGCGCCCCCATCCCTGACGTTTGCCCCTCTTCTTCCTCCCCCAGTGCTCCGCGACGTGTGGGAACGGGACGCAGAGGCGCCCGGTTCACTGCAGCAACAGCACCGGGGCCGCCTGTGACCCCGCAGAAAGACCCAGCTCGGAGACTGTTTGCTCCTTGCCACAGTGCCAGAAGAAATCAGACAACGCCAACACGGACTGGTCTGGCAGCGGGTCCTCCAGCAGAGAGATATTTAATGAAATCCATTACATCCCCAGCAACCACATCGCTAAATTTAACCCCTTAATCCCAAATATTCCGGAGTCCAATGACGTCAATATCATCACTGAGGAGGACTTCTCAGCCAAGAAGGGAAATGTCTTTGTTGATGATTTTTACTACGACTATAATTTTATCAACTTCCACGAGGATCTGTCTTACTATCCCTTCACGGAGAAGGAGACCAAAGGCGAGGGGCATAAGCCAGAGCTGAGCACCAACGATGTGGAGGGGACCCGTGAGATGCCTCCTGATGTCCTGCACACCGTCAAGCCGGGAGGAGAAGCAAGTGAGGACCATCTGGTGACCAGCGAAGCAAACGCTTCTGCTCCCGTGCACGGCGAAGGAGAGACGGAGCCTGGGGGTTTAGCCACGAATGGCCTCCTGAGCGTGGTCCCCGAGGGTGCGGGGACAGCCGCTCCCAAACACGCCATCCCTGACTTCACGGGCGAGGAGGAGGATGCAACGCTCGTGCCCCGCTCCGAGGAGCACCCGCCCACCCAAAGCACCACGAGCCAGGACCCTGGACACAGCCACGAGCACCCGCACCCGGATGAACCCCGGGGAGCCGTGCCGACGGGGACTGGGACTGGGCAGGGCGCTCCAGCCCACGGCCTCGCTCCCCAGGCTCCTTACCCGGCCGATCCCTCCCCACCCCTGCCCGCTGGCAGGGGCAGCACCACTGCAGATGTGTCCGACCGTCTGGGAGAGCTGGGGAGCCGTGGTGAGGGGCGTGCGAGCACGGGGGGGCCCGGTAACGCCGGCAGCGAGGAGCGCGAAGTGGCCGGCTCTGTGGGGAGAGACCATGAAAACTCAAGGGAAATGGGGCTTGTCCTCACTGGTGATGCTCGCGGTGCTGCCCCCCAGGCTGAGGAGCAGGAAGGGTGGGCAGAAATACCGGCGCCGGAGGGGACGGCGGGCACGCACGCAGCGCCGGCGGGTGATGAACAAGCCCGTGGGACAGAGAGGGCAGGTCTTTCCTTCGCCACCCCACGGGGACCGGGGTGGGAGATGGGAAGGAGGGCTGGTGGCACCCATCCTCCTGCGAGTGTCTATCCCACGGGTGCTGACGGGGGCCCTGTGGGGCGGGCAGGGCACCAGCCGGAGCTCCGCACCCCCACATCCCTGAGCTCAGCCCCCCGGGTGGCCACCACAGCCTTTCCACCAGCGGTGTCCTTGTCCCCCGCTGTGCCCGGGCCACCCACCCAGCTCACCTCCACCGGCCTCACCCCACGAGATGCCCTGGCACCCGCCGTGCCCACAGCCCCAGCCCACAGCCCTCCCGTGCGCCCAGTGGGAGCATCACCCTCCGAATTCCCCCCGGCGTGGTGGACCCTGGGGGTGTCCCACCCCCGGGGGCTGGCGTCGCCCCGCGCACGGCAGACCTCCCTGCTCAGCAGCACCGTGCCAGGGGAACACTGGCCGTGGGCAACCCCGGGGACATTTGCTTTTAATGATGGGGGGCACGAGTTATCCCAGCCCACCCCTGCCCCACCACCGCTCTGGGAGATGGAAGAGATGGAGAAGGAGGAGGCTTCGCTTCCGCCGTCGACCACCGTGGCAGCCGCCGCGATGCCCAGCTGGGAGGTCGGGAACTGGAGTGAGGTAGGTGCTGAGTCTCATTTAAAAGCGTGATGTGGCCAGTACGGAGGTGGGAGACCTGTCCCTCTCCTGCCCGCTCTGCCCTTCCCACGTGCGTGGCTCACGCGGGCGTTTTCGCATTTTAACCAAATACCGAAAGGCTCATCGAGGCTGCAGATTAGCAAAGGTCTGGGGGGGGGGGGGCTGTGTTGAATGCGGTGAGAGGGGGGATTATCAGCGATTATCAGCTATCGGTTTACTGCCTCGCTGTCCTGGGGCTGCTCTGCGTAGTGTTTGCAGTGACAGGCAAGTGGCTGCTGCAATTCACGGGAACGGGGTTTTATCAGAAAGCACAAAAATAACAAGCCTTCGGTGTCGTGGGGCACTGGAGACTGAGCAGAGGGGGTTGGGCGCTTTTAAGAAGCACTAACAGTCAGGACAACACTTAATATCAGCAAAACCACGGTCCCACGTGTGGGTTTTATAAAAGGGCTTTGAACGTTGCTTGAGCCGGGGCGTTGGAGGAGCTCTGCTGCGGGGATGGGGCTGGTGGCTGCGCTGTGACATGGGGGGCACACGGGTGTGTGTTGAAAGCCCTGCAAAGGCTTTTAAGGTGGAAAAGCTGCTACAAAATAAATCGGATCCCTCTGGACAGCGAGGGGGTGAATCCAAAAGAGGAGGCAGAGGCAATGCCGTTCGTGTGGAAAGAAATCTTTACTGGAGCTTTTAACACCAAAAGAGCAGGGGGCAGGCAGTGCTTGTGAAAGAAGATCACGAAACAGAGTTTTATGAGACAGCAATCAAAGGGTTGAAGCTATTAGTGCTAATTAAGGGCCCTAGCAACAACAAAAAAAAAAAAACAGCCACAGAGGTCCCCAGTGCTGCCCCATTTCCCACCGGGACGCTGGTGCGGGGCGATGGCCATCGCTGCTGGGGTCCGGCGTCGCAGCGTGACAACCCCCCTGGGAGCTGAACAGGGAGAGAAAAGACAGTCCCAGCCAGACCAGTAAGGACTGGAATGGGTTATGGAGAGGGGATTTCCTCCTCCTCCATCCCCCCAGGCCCAGGGCTGCCTGTGGAGAGGAGCCTCATAGCGGGGTGCTCTGTGGGGCTGGGTCAGCCTCCGGGGAAGCTCCTCTATCCGCATCATCCCACAGCCCTGCCGCCGCCGCACGCCCCAGTTTTACTTGCCCCCCCCTCCCCGATGTCCACGGAGGAGGTGATGCGCTGAGTCCCCAGGGACCTTCCTGCTGGGGCCACCGGGCTCTGTGCTTGGCCAGAGCCAGCCACGGTGGCACGAGGGACGTCGGGGACAGCGGGGGCCGGCGGGAGCGGGGGGGAGCAGGATCCTCCTCCTGTGTTGCAGTGCTCGGCTACCTGCGGCGTGGGCGCGATCTGGAGGACCGTGCGCTGCAGCTCCGGCAGCGACGACGGCTGCGCCGCCGCCAACAAGCCCGTCCCCGCTCGGAGGTGTTCCCTGAGACCCTGCTCGTCGTGGCGCGTGGGGAACTGGAGTAAGGTACGGGGGGCGTGCAGCCGGTGGGGAGGGCCCCGAGAGACCCGCGGGAGAGTGAAGGCGGGTGGCGGCTGCCCTGCGGCTGCAGCAGTGCGTGCTCTTGCCCCGTGGCTCACGAAGGCGGAGGGTAAAGGTTGGCGCTTGCCGCAGAGCCGAAACGCGACAATCTTTTCATATCCCCTGCTCCTGGGCTGGTTAAAAAGCCAGGAATTTGCAAAAGCTAAACAAAGAGCCGTTTGAAAGTCTCTGGGAAACGTTCTGGCCACTCTGCGTTACGAGGAGGTGTTTGCAGTTGGGTTGGGTGAATCTAGAAGGTTTGGTGGTGGGGAACAACCCTCCTTGCTCTGGGTGGCCGCCGTTTCATGGGATCATCCGTTGTCTAATGCTTAAAGACTTTGTTGCCGTTACAACTGGAAACCGATTGCTTTCAGAGGGACGGTAGTGACCGATTCAGAGCTGCACGGACTTTTCTCTAGCTTGGACTAGAGAAAGAGGTGAAAAGAGGTTGGGTATCAGCTCGATCCAAGCCAAGGCAGAGCGCGTCTCTGCCGGAGGGATCCCCCCTGGCCGCCCTTCCCTGGCGTGATGCTCGTGTCCTTTCCCAGTGCTCCAGGAGCTGCGGCGGGGGGGTGAAGGTTCGGGACGTGCATTGCGTCGACACCAGAGACCAGAGGCTCCTACGGCCCTTCCACTGCCAGGCTGTGCTCTACAAACCGCTGGCGCAGCTCCCCTGCCAGAGCACGCCGTGCCTGGACTGGTACACGTCCTCCTGGAGAGAGGTGGGGGCTACTGGGGGGGCGGATTGAGCTGGGGGGGGGGGGGGGGGGCAGCACTCGACCCCCGAGCATCGCAGCAGGGCTTCATCCCTGGCTGAGCACACGCAGCGCGAGCACCCGTGCCAGGGTGTTTCACACCCACAGTTATTTTTCTTCTCCCTCCCTGGAAGCACGTTTGTGCAGCACTCGGTTTTTGCTTGCGCAGAGGGAATGCTCGGTGGGGGGGGGGGGGGGGGAGGCTGAGCTGCCTGCAGTGACCTGCTTTGCCGGAGCCCCCCACCCTGATCGTTGCAGCGGGCTCAGCCTGCCCGGTCACACACCTGCAAAATTTAAGCGGCTACTTCCAGTGAGTCTGCTGGATCCTCCTGCCTCTGGGAACCCCCCAGCCGGTTTCAAGCACCGAGAAGGAGACGACCCACTAATAGCGGGGGTAGCTGCGGAGCGGGCATTTTGTGGGTGCTTCAGGATTGGTAGGGTGGGTTTGCGGTGTATTTCCCTGAGACACCGGTGCATGGAGCGTGTCTGCCTTTCTGTTGTGCTGCTGGCTTCCCCCCTCGGACGGCTGCAGTGCTCGGAGGCGTGCGGCGGCGGGGAGCAGGAGAGGCTGGTGACGTGCCCGGAGCTGGGACGCTGCGAGGAAACATCCCGGCCCAACACCACCCGGCCCTGCAACACGCACCCCTGCACCACCTGGGTGGTGGGTTCCTGGGGAGAGGTGAGCGGGCGCGGGCTTTTGCACGAAAACGCAGGGAACGGCGGGGAAAACCCAACCCCCCCCCCTCCAAAACCAACCCGGGGGCTAACTGCAATAAAAACCTCCCCGGGGTCTGATGCTGCCGGCACAGCGCAGGGTTGGGGGGGAGGCTCGGTGGGGTGTGGGGATGGGTGGCCCCCACCCCGGGGCTGACGGGGCTGCCCCCCCCCCTTGCTCCCCAGTGCACGGCTCCCTGCGGCGGGGGCATCCAGCGGCGCCAGGTCAAGTGCATCAACACCAAGACGGGGCTGGCCGAGGAGGACAGCAGCCTCTGCGACCACGAGCCCTGGCCCGAGAGCACCCAGAAGTGCAACCCGCAGGACTGCGAGAGCTCCGAGCCGGGTAAGCCAGCTGCGCCCTTCTGCCCGGCCTGAAAGCCGAATTGTTTTGTCTTTAACTGTGGTTGTGCTCCCCAAGGGGTCTGGGTGCGCCGCCCGGGATAGACGCTGCGTTTTGAGGACGTGGTGATAATTGTGGGGATGGGTGTGAAAACCACCCGTTTCCGCTCAGATAGGGAACGTGATCTGCAGAGCAGGCGGCTCCCCCGTCATGGGTTGTGTGGAGGAGCAGCGCAGCATCCTCCACCACCGTCCTGGGCTGTGGCTGGAGACATTTTTCCACCACCGGTGAGGGCTGAGGCAGGGAAAACTCGGTTTTTACAGCGGTTGTGGGTGGTGCAGCGAGGTGACGGGGCAGCGGGCAGCGTCCCTCGGCGTGCTGGGCGCGAGGGGGGTTTAGATGGCTCCGTGTTGGTGGGCATCGGGTGGGCGTGCTGCAGGGTCTGCTCCCCCGCTTCGAAGCCACGCCGTGAAATGCAGCGAGGGCCGCGTAAAAACACGACCCGTTTCTGGGTCTGGTAACTGGAGATGTTTTTTTCCAGCCAAGTTTAGACTCATTCTTTATTTTTCTTCTCCCCACCTTTCACTTTTCGGTCCCCCCGGACAGTCTGGAGGAGGACGCCAGCAATAACTGGCTGTGCTGAAAGATGAGCTGCGCTCAATTAATTTTTCCAGGGCAGGTCGTGCCCCGCGCTCTCCCGGCCGGCCGGCAGCACGATGCTGTCCTGCTCCCGGGAAGGGACCCCAGGAAGGGACGGGCTGGGCGCCGGGGGGACCGGGTGCAGGGGAGGGCAATGGGCGCACGGGGCTCGGGGTGCTGCCAAACGGGGAAGCGGTGCTGGCTGCAGCGAGGAGAGTGATGGCGGGCGAAGGAAAAACCAGTCAGCCCACTAAAAAGCAACGTGTCTGTGGGAAGATGGAGGGGGTGTTTTAGACATGAATTGTGTAAGGCTCGCTTGGCTAATCGATAATTAAGTGGGAATGTTATAACCATCTATAAATGTCCGGAGCATTTGGCTCTCAAGGGGCTGAGCGTGGTTTTTTTACTGGCGGGAATGTGAGCTGGGATGTGCCTGTCCCAGCAAAGGGACCACGCCGGGGGGTGGCGCGGGGCGATGGGACCTGGTTCAGGAGCAACGGGTAATTCAGACAAAGGAAGCCAGAAGGAAATATCAAGCAATTAAGCTCTCTGGCCACCAGAAAGCGGTTCAGTGATAAAGTCCCAGAGCACAAAACTTTTGAAAGAAGCCTGAGCTCACCACTAGAAAGTCAGACAAAAGGCCAGTTCTCCAGCGTCTTTGGATATGTCTGAGCAGATGCTTTCATGAGTCAGTCCCATTTTAACCTGAGCTGTGCAGACCGTCCGCCCGCTCCATCTGCCTGCTCCGGCCGCAGCCGCCGTGCTCGGCCGTGCCACGGGCTTCTCCTCTCCCCTTCGCTTGGAGAAATACATCCCACGGCACCAAGCAGCTTCCTACAAGCCAGAAACCTGTGGGCTGCAAGGGTTAACAGCACTTAAAAGCAATATAATGAGGGGATTAGATGTCATTGATATTAGCGTGTTAATCATTAATCAACTTTATCTTTTTAATGTGTCTGTTAAAAAAAAAAAAAAAAAAAAACAAAACCAAAAAACAAAGAGCTTTATGACTGCCCAGAAAGAAACATTAGACCCTCAGGAGGTTAATTGAACACAGAGAGGGCTGAGAGATGGAGCAGGGCAGGAGGGCAGCGGGCGCCCCGGGTGCAGGAGCCAGCCCCCCCCTCTGCAGCCCGGGACACCCGTTCTCATCCTTTCGGCTCTTTGTATTTGTCCTGCATCCAGCCGTGTTCCTCCAAACCCCTGTTTGGGGAGGGCAGAAGCTCTGGCTTTGGTTAGCTGGGATGTGGAGGCTGCGGCCGCTGGCCGTCGGGATGCTTTTTGCCATTCAACTGCTTCTTCCCGGCGGCTGCGCGACCCTCCTGCATTTGAAAGCCTGTCGGGCAGTTCAACATTTAGGAAATAATTAGTCAGACTTTCTCAAGAAATGATGTGCGGTTCCAGCTATTTTTGTCAAGGGAAAATTTCCGTGCTGGGCTTGGTGATGAGAGCTGTGGAGCCACACAACGTAGCCAAGGTTGTACCAGAATAACCGCTTAGATGTGTAGGAAACACACAAATAAATGTTAAAATCCTGGATTCAAAATGACATAAATGCTCTGGCTGTAGCCCAGGGCAGGAAACGCCTCTTGGAAATACAAACATTTCCTGCCAAACCATGAAGAGGAACAAAACTTTCACATGGCAGGAAATCACAGATGTGTAAATCCACAGGCAGAGGCTCCCAGAACAGGCATGAACGTTAACTCCAGCTCTTTCCTGTGTTTTAAAGGAGCTTTACTGCACAAGATTAGTGCAGGCTGGAGTGATGCATGTCTTTTTGTTAGAAGCACAAGGAGCCTCTATCTCCTCTACATGAAGTGAACTGATACCAGCAAACTCCTGTATTTGTCTTTGTGAGGAATCGTGTTCTCGCTGGACACAAAAATGCAAGTAACCCCAGTAGAGTTTAAATGTTAAAACCATTATCAGATGAATTTTTAACAGAGATGGAACAGATCAAACATAAACAAACATCTCACCAGCAATCAGCTCCCTTCGATTAAAGGAGGTCGGAATTAATTAGAACCAGAATCCTGTTCTGTTGCCAGGTTATAAATTAATTGATGATTGCACAGAGGTTATTTTTAAATGCGCCTGTCATTTTGCAGCTGCATCCAGCTGTGAGTGGAGAAGATAAGGTTGGCCATGTCCTTGGATGGCTCCTGGGGAGCATCGGAGCCCATCGGGCACCCAGATGCCTCCGTGCGATGCCCCAGCGAGGCCGGGGACGTTTATCTTACTCCATGCTAAGAGGAGGAACTCAAATGCAACTCCAGCGCAGGAAAATCCGCACGGGGGGGGAGAGCCATTGCTCTTGGACACGGTAGCAGCAGCCGGGAAAGCCGTGCGGCTCCTCGCTGGCGGCCGGGAGGGACAAGGACATCGGTGTCCTCCTGCCAGCCCGGGCTGGGCGAGGGGAGATCAGAGCAGCCAGGAAAGCCCCGGGGCTGGCTGAGCTCCCCCCTCCCCGTGCCTAGCTCCCAGCCCGAGCAGTGCTCACACCCACCTCGGCCACTCCTGTTACCCGATCATTTCTTGTAACTCAGAAAGCTGGGAAAAAAAAACCAAAAACCAAAAAAAAAAAAAAAAAAACCAAACCAAAAAAACCCCACAACCTCACAGCATGTTTATTTCTCTGATTAAATATTACACTTTGTTTTCTGGCCGTCTTGGAAAGGAGCTGAGCAGCAGGTCCCACATGAAAGCCAGGAGAAACCGGTGCTGGTTTATCCAGCAGGTCAAACAGTTTTAAAACTCAGAAGCAGCAATTGCTTTGTACTGGAGGAGGGTGCTGGTGGGTGAATCGAGCTGCAGTCGCCCCGCTGCTGCGAGGGTGGTGGCTGTGCCTGCACGATGGTTTTTGGCCACCCCCCACCAGTGATGGGTGAAACAAACCCTGTCCAGGACCGAACACGGGCAGCCCATGGGGTGCTCATCATGGCAAACGCCGTAAAATTGATAATTTTCCTCGTGCCTGTTTCTCTGGATCTGACAGTGGGTGGGATGGGGTTCAGCCTTGTGTCCCAGGAGCAGCCAGCACCGGGGACCGTGTTTGGTGGGGCTGTGAGAGGGGCGATGCCTCGGGGGGGGCACCGAGGGGCGAAGACACCCCCCCATCCCCTTCTCACACCAGGAACGTGCTGGGCGAATCCCAGACGCCCGTCGCCCTCTTCAACCGCCGCCGTTTGGGATGCTCCGGGCTCGTTATCCAGGGTCCGGTTGTATTTCTAGTTGCCTCAAGATTAATTGGCAATTAAACGTTTTATTCCTGCTTGCTTTGAGTAGGGAAATGAAATTATTCATGGTTCTGCACGTAGCTGAGTTTGTCGGCAAGGGATACCTATTAGAAATAATCACAGCAAATTCCAATTTTCTCTGTCATTTGAGCAAGTAAGTCTGTATCCAAGCAGCAAGGCAGGGAGGTGTTGCTGAGTGAGTCATTAAGAGCCCTTTATTTACTGCTAATTAACGACAGCCGCCAATGAAAAAATGGGTGCTGGGGAAAGGGCTCCCTGTTTTTATTAAATGTAGGAGAAATGAACGTTACACATTTCAGCCTTACGGAGAAAAAGGGGTTTTGGGGGGCAGGAGCTGGCAGAGGCTGCTCGGGCGTCCCCGGATGGGCCGGTCCCCCTGAGGGGGCTGATGCTGAGGCCAGGGCTGGGCAGGCCCCACGCTGTGCCCCCAAAACCCGGGCTGTGGGAGAAAAAAACCCAAACCACCGTCAGGCAGGTGGAGCAGGGACGGCACGTTTCCTCGCCCCGAGGAGAACAGGGGGGTATTGCAGTGCTGCACACTCTTTAGTGAAGCGACCTTGGTGTGGCCAGCGGCGGTGGGAGATGGTGCTTCTCCTCCCTCCTTCTTGGCAACTGCTGAGCAGGTTTAAGTTTTGGAAAGCATAAATTGTGGTGGAGCTCAGCGGCCAGTGCAAGCAATTGGGGGAGTGCACCCCAGCCTCCCATAAAAGCCTAATCCCAACAACAAAAGATTAACCCTTACTTAACTTTTTGGAAAACTCTCCAGAATATATCAAAGGCTTATTTTTCCCTGCAGAAGAAAGGCCATCAGCAGAGAGGTTATTTGCCTTGGCCTTGAAGTGCTAAAAACAGTGAAAGCAAGGACAGAAGTGAAGAAATGGTGCTTTGCCCGTGGCGGGGGAGGGGGAGAACGGTGCTCAGCCCCGGCAGCCACGCTCCGGGGGTCCTGCCCGGATTTGGCTTCCCTCAGTCTTGAAACAGAGGAGGTGCTGCTGCCGAGCGCCCTTACCCTGCCGAATCTTGCTGTTAAAAAAAAAAAAAAGACAAAAGAAGCAAAGACTCGGTAGATGTGACACGGCTGGCTGCTCCGGCCCGATTGCTCCTTGCAGGGTTGGGTGTGGGAAGCTCTGGACACGGTGTGTTTAAAGTGGTTTTGGATTTTGGAGGGGAGGGCAGGGTCATGGTCAGCAGCTCCTTTTGGCAGAGCGGGCTTTTTCTCCCCCTCGTGCACTCATGAGAAGGAAGGGGAAGGCAACACAGAGTGCAGGGAGGGTCCTGGCTCTGCCGCAGCTCTTCGGAAATGAGACTTTCTCTCTGTCAGATCCAGGAACTCTAAAAAATGGATAATCCCTCTGGGAGATCTCCCTCTTGGAGAGCACCAGCGTTTTGCTGCCCCCGGTCTGCAGTCCCCAGGCTGGATGCTCAGGGCTGTCGGCGCGAGCTCCGTCGCGGTGCTGAGCGAGGCGTGCCGGGAGCAGCGGGGCTGACCCCTGCAAGCCGGCGGGGTTTGGGGGGCTGTCCTCCCCAATTTTCCCAAGCGAGCAGTTTTTTCTGTGCAGGCAGCCCCGGCGCTGCCTGCGGGGCCACGTGCTGCCTCCGCCGGCGCTCGGCCCCGCGGCAGGAGCCTGGGATCATACTTGTTAAATTCGGCACTGGCTCCGAGAGCATCCCGAAGGCCAGAGGTCAGCAGCTTAATTCTCTGGTTTTGCTAGCTCAGCTCTAAGCTCAACCTTTCCTTGTTTTTACAAAACCTGTTCCAGGAAGTTTGTTTTTTCCCGAGCATAAAAGTAAATGCTTAGGTCTGTAGAGCAGAAGCTTAAATGAAATTTAAAGCGACTTCCACGCCAACTTAAAAAAACAATCGAAATAAAGGTGGGGGTTTTCAGTTTCTAGTGTGCTGACCTAGCCTGGATTTTAAAAGCCCTGCTTTAAGCTATTTCTTTAGACTAAAATTTGGCACAGACTTGAACGCTGGAGCATATGTTCAAATGAAGCGTTGGGATTATATATATAAAAAAAAATGTTAATAGAAAAAAATAACAGTGGAAGGATTAAATGAAAATTGGGTCAATTCTGTAAGGACCCTCTCTGAAGAGCTGACATATTAAGTGCTTATTACAGCTTCCTTTGCCAAAGACCAAATTCCAGGGAGAAATGGCGAGCTCAGCCAAGATTTTCAGACCTGAGCGTGACCCCGCACACATCCCCGCCGCGACGCTACGGAGCACGGCCCGAGCTGGGAAGAGGACGAGCTGCCCAGCAACTGCCCTTGACTTGGTTTTGTTAAAACGCTTCGGAAACCCGGGGTCCCGCTGCGGGGTCTCAGGGAAGGTGGGCAGAGTGGGGGGGGGGGGGGGGGCAGCGATGCCTCCAGGCGACGGAGGTGGCTCTTCACCCCCTGCTAAGCCCGTCCCCGCTGTTGCTGCTCGGACCTGTGCAGATAACGCGATGTCCCGGGGGAAATAACGCCTGGCAGGAGACCGAGGGACTCATTTACGCCCGGGGACGGCTCTGGCTGGTGCAGGTTTGGGAATTTCCTACCAGCGCCGCGGGGGTTGACCCGTTGGAAAGGGATCAGAAAAGAGCTAAACCGTCACCTCTGGTCCTGGAAAGCGACCTTCCAGGGAGAGGCTCCAGAAGCCGAGCCGCCCGCAGCTCTGTCAAGGGAAGGCAGGAGGCAACTTGGTGGCGATCCATAAATATCTTTCTAGGAAGACCGTTGCAATAAGCGGAGGGCTCGTGAGCAGAAACGAGCCCCGCAAGGCACAGCGGCAGCGCGCTAAAAATACCGAGGCGCTCGGCGGGGGTCAGCCTCGGCACGGCATCGCCCCGGGGCCCTCTGAAACGCCGGTGACATTCCCATCCATCCCTGCAGTATTTTTAACTGAGTTCTTCTAAACGCCGCGGAGTTCCTACTGCTGTTACGCTTGCTCTGTGCAATGCAGTGAATAATTAAACACCCCCCCCCCCTTGGAGCACGCCAGCCCCCGTCCGTGCCTGCCGGGAGCCGTCGCTGTGTTCTCCAGCTCTCCTACTCAAAATCGGTTCCAAACCCGGTGACTTGGACCACCACGGGTTTATAAATCCCGCGGGAAGCACAGGTGGGGGTTACCCGGCGGTCGTGCCCCGGTGAAGAGTAAATGATTACCAAATCCTGCACAAGGGGAGAGGTGGCTGAGATCAGTGTGCTAAACCGGCGCTGGGCAGCAGAGCGTTTTAAGGTGCAGCTCAGCTGGTGCACCCCGGTATTGCCGTCGCCGGCTGTAGGGAGCAGGAGGTGTGGGGGGGGTTCTCCAGGCTGACATGCCCTCAGGCTTTTTTTCTCACATCGGACACCCCAGAGGTGTTTTGGGAGACATCCCTGTCCTGCAGCACATGCCAACGGGCATGCACGTGTTTGTGTGCCCGAATGTCCCCGTGCGAAAGGGCCCCGGGGGTGCAGGGGACGGTGTGCGGAGCGGCAGGGGTGCTCCCGGGGGGGGACACCATCCCTGAGGCCCCCAGGCAGCATCGCACGAGCAAACGCTTCCCTTTGCCCGACCGGCTCTGGTGCTCTTGCACGGCGGGGCTGCTCTCACAGCAGGTCTGGGGACGTGCGCCGCGCCGGCCCGGCCCTCTCAGCAATTCCTCGTCTGCTTTGCTCAACCACAAGGAAAAAATCCGCGTTATCCCCCAGCACCTCGGGGGTCAAACCGAACCCCCAGCACCTCGGGGGTCAAACCGAACCCCCAGCACCTCGGGGGTCAAACCGAACCCCCAGCCTGGGAGTGTGATGCGGAGCCAGGGTCCGGCGCTCGGTCCCGGTCTGTCGGCAGCTGTTGAACCAGGCAGCCGCTTCTGTGTGAAATGGTTTCTTCAGGGCACAGAGACACTATTGCTGGGCAGAAAGAGCTGTTGCTCAAGAGGAAGAGAGGAAAAAACCTCTACTGAAATAGAAAATTAATTTTAGATCGGTATTGTGACCTTGCTGATGGGCTGGGGGCAGGGGTGAGGGCTGTGATTGAAATCCCAAACGGGGGGAAAAGTCTCTGCTCGGCATCTGCTGCGTCCTTTGCATTAACCGCTGCGGGTCGGCTCGTCCCCGTGGGAATCGGGGCAGCAGCCTTTCCCTGAGCAAAGCCTTTTGTTCACAGAGGGGAGATGGCGAAGGGCAGTGGTCAGCGAGAGCTCCCCGGCTTGGTCCCGGTGCTTCCCCAGCAGAAAAGTGTCCTGAGAAAGAGAAAAGCCCGTTTTCTTGCCTCATTTCTGGATCTGCTTGGCGTAGTCGTGGCCGGAGGGAGCCCAGGGTGAGGCAGTGCAGGAGGACTGGGGGGTGCCGGCCCCAGCGAGCACCAGTTCTGCCCTTTTTCAGAGAAAAGCTGTCATTTGTCTTAATCGCTTGTACGGGAGATAAAATTAGACAGAGCTGATGCAATTTAAACAAGTCTTACACAACTGGGTGAGATGCTGGAGGCTTGATGAGGAGCACGCTTCTTTTGATATAAAGTAGAAAAGGAGGAAATTAAAAATTAAAGCAAACCAACTATATGTTCTTATAAACAGTGCGTGTTGGGTGGTGGGTCTTTGCCGCTGTAACTAAGCCGAGCTGCAGCCTGGCTAGCGATGGAGCTGGGAGCTGCTGGGGCTGGTTTTGGCGTCCTGTGCCAGCGGCGCAGGGGAGGGCTGTCCCCTCCTCGCCACGTCCCACGTTTGCGTGAGGGGGTTCCGGGGCGCCGGGATGTTCCTCCCCATCGCACCCCGAGGACGAGGTGGCTCCCCCCACCCCCGAGCTGGGAACCTGAGCGCTGGACCAAACGCCCCGACGTGGCGCTCCCGGCCCCCCCGGGGAGGGATTTGTGATTTCCAGACTGTTTGCAGAGAGGAAACAGTTTCTGCAAACAGTTTGCTCAGCCTGGGAGTGACTCAGCCGGGGCGGCCGGGCTGCGACCCGTGGCCACCACGGCCGCTGCCGCAGCTGGCCTGGGTGCTGCCCCCCCAAACGAGGCTGGGTGCTGCCCCCCCAAACGGGGCCGGGTGCTGCCCCCAAAAACATGGCTGGGTGCTGCCCACCCTCAAACGGGGTTGGGTGCTGCCCCCCCAAATGGGGCCGGGTGCTGCCCCCCCAAACGGGGCTGGGTGCTGCCCCCCCAAACGGGGCCGGGTGCTGCCCCCAAAAACGGGGCTGGGTGCTGCCTCCAAAAACGTGGCTGGGTGCTGCCCGCCCAAACGGGGTCGGATGCTGCCCCCCCAAATGGGGCCGGGTGCTGCCCCCCCAAAACAGGGCCGGGTGCTGGCGCTGGAGCCACGCTTCCCAAAACAAAACCCATCCTCGAGGCGGCGCCGATTGTTGTTTTGAGGTTCGCGAGGCACCTGCAGGAAGCGACCCGGATGATGCGGGTTCTCGAAATAATCTCAAGACAATGCAAAGGAAAATGAATTACCGCCTTTCTTGCCGCCTTCTGCTGGCCTCGCGGGGAAGATTTGGGGGGGGGGCTGGGGGGAGATGTTGTGGGGTGGTTTGTCACCTCTCGCGAGCCCTCGGTGCAGACCCCCCACCCCGGGGAGGGAGCCCCAAGCTCAGCCCCGCTCCCCCCATATGGTTCCTCCACCCTGGGGAGATGCTGCGGAACTGGAGACGGCGGCAGAAGGGTTATTTCTGCTGGTGATGAGGAATGAGGAGGATGCTGGGCACCCAGGTGAGGGTGGGCTCCGCATTGCCCGAGCTCTTGCCTTTGCCTCCGCCAAGCTCGTGCCCGTTTCCGCGTGGAACGCCGGGGAAGCCGGCACTAACGCTGTCCTCGCCCTCTCGCCTCCCCCTCCAGGCTTCGTCTGCGAGCGCGACCGCTTGACGTTCGGCTTCTGCCAGACCCTGCGGGTCCTGGGAAGGTGCCACCTCCCGACGGTCCATCTCCAGTGCTGCCGAAGCTGCCGCCACCACGGGCACCGCGCGGCGCCCGACCGGGACCGCGGCGACGAGCGGGCGTCCAGGAGGTGACAGGACTGTCCCCAAGGGCAAGAAGTGCCAGGCCCCGCGGTGGCTCCCGCGGCAGCGCGGCGGAGGAGGGAGCTGGGTCCCAACCAGGACTTGCGGCTTTGCCTCGACCCGCGGCAGCGCCGGACGTCTTACAAAACACGGGGAAAGCTTGATTTCTTTTAGTTGTGCTACACTATAACGGTGCTCAAACCATCGGTCTGAAAAAAGGAGGTCTGGCGTGGGGCTGGGTGCGCGGGTCCCGCCGGGACCCTCCGGCGGGGTCACGCTGCTGCTGGGCGCCCGGCGGGGAAATGTTTTGGGGAAGGGAAACCAAAAGCAGCAATAATTCGGGGGGAGACCTCTCAGAAATGCTTATGGTGCTATCGTTTGACATTTTCAGCCTCTTAATGGTGTTGGCAGGCCAGCACAAAACTCTTGACTTTTATTATTATTTTTATATATATGAAGTGAGCATCTAGCATTCCATCCGTACAGCCGACCGTTTGGGTTAGGTTTTTCTTTTTTCCTTAAGGGACTTGAAGCTGGCAACCCATTTCTGTAATTTTCATTAAAATGTTTATGCACTGAAGCTAAACGGTAATTTAAGAAATGGAGACAGGGCAGAGGAATAAATACCAGCTTCAGTTACCCCCACGAGTCCAGGGCTGGCGGTGCGTGCGAAGGCTCCGTACCCTCCTCTCCCCACTGCCGGCTTCCTCTGCCGAAGCCGCTGCCCGTACCGCTGGAGCAGAGGGGATGGTCAGGGACACAAGTGAAGTGGCACATTGGTTTTGGAGCCCAACAGTCTTTCCCTTGCGTGTGTTTGTGAAGGAGGGGGAAAGCTGCTCTGGCCCCGGCGGTGAGCAGCGCGTCCCCTTCGCCGCATCCTTCCTCGAGAGCAGCAAACTCCCCCCACACCTGGATTTCTGTATGTAGTTACGGCGTAGCAGTTTAAGGGTTGGTTAAGGTGTTTTTCTGTGTTCTTACAAGCTAAAACCTTTCTTCCTGCTTATATAGAATCACCCCTGTTAAGGTTAGCTCATTCTTTTAACTAGAATATCCAGTATTGTACGAGGAGCGGCACTCGGCCGGCACAGCCCTTACCGCCCGGCCCAGGAGTGTCCTGTGTTAATCCCTCCCTGGTTTAGGGCGGGTTTGCTGTTAGATTTGCCTCCTGGAGGAGGGTCAGGAGTATTTAGGTAGGAATTCCTTTCTATATTACTCTTCAGGCTATGGAGGATGCCCAAAAACTGGGAGACCATGAAGGCAATCCTGCATGTATTGAACAGAGAAATGCTCGGGCGCATCAGCCGTGCCAAGCGTTTCTTCTTCACCTGGGCTGTCGGGAACAACATTCAAACCCTCAACAGGGGAAATTCCTGCGTGTAGTTTGTCCTGTGTAAAACACAAGCCATGACTTCATCATTTGTGTTTTATTCCTTTCCAACGTGGTGTAAATTTTTATGTTTCAAGAGCCTGTGTTCAGTCCTGTTTTCCTTCGCACCGGCACCATCTGTCCCTTGCTTCCGTCGTGCTCCCAGGTTTTGCCAAGGGACAGCCACTAAATACGGTGGGGTTTAATGGCTATAGCTCCTCAGTATGTTAAATTAAACAGTTACTGAAGGAAATGGTAGGGTTTCACATTTTCTATTCCCCTCGGGGAATTTGGGGGGGATTTTTCACTGAAAATGCAGTTGAGTGGAGGTGGTTTAGGTCCTGGCAACAGCAGGGGGGTGATTACTCTTAGCTGCAGCAGAAAGGCGTAATCAGTTTGTATCTGAAAATCATTTAAGGCTGCCGTTGGCAACTGGGGTTTGTGTGACGAGGCTGCGAGCTGGGGTGAACGCTGGCAGCCCGCTGGGGGCTCGCAGACCCAGCAGCTGCAGCCTCCGCGTTCTGTTGATGCCCGCTCCGGCTTTGCAAACCAACTCGTTTCGGTGGTAACCCGGCCCGGCGAGCCTCTCCTGGGGCACCTGCCCACGTGCGGGGTCACGTCCGCCGCCGGGACGAGGCCACGGGGTAACCCCTCCCGTGGGACACCCACCCTGGAGCGGGGCCGCTCCCCGAGCATCCCCAGCCGGCACAGCCACGGCTCCAGTTCACGGCCAGAGCGCGATGCCCACCAGCACCTTGGTGCCCCCCCCCAGCCCCAACCAGGCTGGGGCTCTGCGGCAGAAGAAACCCCTTCTGTTCCAACCCAGAAACCTTTCTGTTCCAACCCAGAAACCGTTCTGATTCAAAAAGGGCCAACCCTGACGCATGCGAAGCCTCGGGGTTTGCAGAGCAGAGGTGGGTGCCCCCGGCTCCGCGATGCCACAGCTTCGGGCCAGTGTCCTGCTGGGAAGGGCTGAGCAGAGCCGGTTCCCAAGTGCTGGGACTGGGAGCAGCAGGAGTTAGTGTAAACCAAAAGCGTGGCCGGCCCCTGAGCCCAGCAGCTCCCAAACTGCAGAGGTCTCTGGTGGGCGCGGAGGCGGGAGAGGTTTTCATCGCAGTGTGGGAATCCCTGCTAGAAGGGCATTTCACCTGCTTTTTAGCCACACGATAAGTCAGACCTCCTGCAAGCCCACAAGTTGAATTATAATTAATAATCACACACACCTTGCCCTACATACCTGCAATATCTTCTTTCAATGAGACACCTACGGCTGCAACTGTAGGTGATAAGACTCCCCAGAACCGAAGCGGTTCTGACCCCCCGAGCTGTGATGTGTCCGACGGCAGAATCTGCTTTACGCCGCGGGGTCGCCGGCGCACGTGCGTGCGGAGCTCCTCGCCTCCCCTCGCCGCGAAGCCAGGCCTTTCCCAGGAGCAGATCTGGCTCTTTACTTGCTCAGCTTTGCTAGTATCCGTGTTTTCACTTGCTCCTTGTAACCAAGGAATTAACTAGAAATGCCTTTTCTTCTTCTTTTAAAGACGCTTTTATTAATGTGTCAACACAAGAAGGATGTTATTCAGAAATAACTGCTTCAGTGGTGTGCAGAGGAAAGCAGGAAAGTAATTAGGAATCAAAAGATGTTTGAAATAGAAATATGCTTTTCCCTGGGGTGTCTAAGGATGGTTTGCCAGGAAAGCAAGCTGATCCTTCTTGCTAGGGTAATCAGAGCAGAGTATGAAAGAGAAAAGCAGGGATGTGTCAGCCCCCCACCACAGAGGTCCCTGAGCTCCACGGCCGGTGTCCCTCAGCCAGGCCCCGGCAGAGCAGAAGGAGCCCGTCCACCGCCAGCTCCCCTGCAGTGGTCACGCCAAGAACACGCGTGTGTTTGACCAGAGTCCCCGGCAGCCCCTTCCCCTCCCAGCCTCCCAAAGAGCCCTGGCCGTGAGCAGCGCAGACAGAAGAAAAGCCCTAAATCATGCTTTTCATTGGGGATACAGGATGCGCGGTGACCAGGATGCATTCACTTTGTCATTCTAAGATACTTTTGGTTCATTACTTCAGAAAGACCCCATTGAAGACCAGCGCTGCAGAACTCGCATGCTTCATTTGGCACACAGTAAAGGGGGGGATTCCCACTCATTGTGAACCGTAGCGATGGGGGGGGTGAAGTCTCCCCGACCTTTGGCCGCTCAGTTTTACTTGGCCTGTTTGAAAAACATTCGGTTTCTCTGCTAAACCATCAGAGGCTACAGGGAACTTTGTTCTTGCAGCCTGGTTGCCTCCCAGCACCAGCTGGATGTCTGCACTGGGTTAAATGGAGCTGAGGGCTGGCTTTTTAAGGCAGGAATGTACATTTATACAAATTAAGGCAAGCTTAACTACAACAGCAACGGATACCAGAGCTGTGTCTCCTCTTTTAAATTAGATGTTAAAATTCAGTGCCGTTAGACTTGGTTTGGGTGTGCAGCACAGGCTGTGCCTTCCTCAGCTGGCAGCTCAGGCTGATGGAGACCTGCTGGCCCCTGCCTCTGCATATACAGGTCTATAGATACATATTATACCTATATATACACATATACAGGTATATATTCAGCAAGGCTCCTCGCTGTCACCACTGCTAGGATGGGGAGTTGGGAAGCCCACGTGTGGTGTTTCACAAGGTGAGCGTGCAGAGGGTCCCTGGGCTCCACGTGCCACAGCACTGGAGGGGTGACCAGGGGCTGCAGCCAAAAAAAAAAGCAGAAATCACTGAGCCGTTGAGGATGGAGGAAGAAACGGGCTGCTTTGGGCAACGTCGTGGACGTAACTGCCGTTCGTCCCACACTCAGGGGTTCACTAACCCCAGTCTGCCTGGGAGTCGTCGAGATGGTTTGTCAGTAAGAATATTTCCTTTTATTTGATAAAAGACAGGGATATTTTTATGCTTAAGAACATATCCAAGAAAGTAAGTGGCTGGACCAGCTCCCTGTGAGCCAAACCTTTGGTAAGTGTCTGACTGCACTGGAGTTTGAAAATGATGGTCCCTGCCCATTCAAATGGCTTCATCCCCATCCCCTTTGGAAGGGAGAGGTAGGAGGGAGCCGGACGGATCTTGCTCCCCCCCAGCAGACATGGGCTTTTTTGGCCAAAGGTTGTGAAGCTCTATCTTAAAATGGTTCCCAGGGCACTGGCAAATCTTGGGTGTCGATGCTACAGGGGCAAAAGGGCCCTGTCAGTGCTCGAGGAAGATCCGAGCGCATCCCTCCACGGGGATCTCCAGGCTGGCTGTTGATCCCAGGGCAGCCGCCTCCTGTGCTGCTGCAAAAACCAAAACCCAAATGTTCCAGCAGCTCATGAAGGAGGGAAATGCTGAGGGGAAGGGGAAGGCAAAATTCTGAGCCATGGAAAAAGATAAAACCCAACACCACCCAAATACAGAAAGGTAAAAACAGAAAAGTTCGTATTTTTGGCAGATAAAGCTTCACAATGACTGGAACTGTGTTTCCAAAACTTTTCTAAGAGGTTGCACTCAGCTTCTAGATTTCAGATTTAGCGACTCCACCTGTCCCCAAAGCAATCCAACGCCCGGGCTGCCTTGGAAGCCGGGCTGACTTGCTTTAGTAAATAATCGCAGCCGTGGTCCGTCCGAGCCGCCTCCGCCGGCTCCTTTCCCCGCACCCCCGGGCTCCCCGTACGCCCAGCACCCAGCTCTGACACACACTCCTAAGTAGTTTTTTCCTATATTTTCCACAGAGGAAACAGAAGAAACAATATGTTTTTAAAAGAGGATTTCAGCTAAGTTTCCTGAAATCTATTGTAATATCCAGCTGGCAATTACCAAACAGGGAAAGAATTGCTCAGAGGTTTTTTGGACTAACAGATGATAAATCCACAGAAGATAGATTTGGAACAAAGGAAAACCCTCACGTTGTAGGCTTCATTCTTGAGAAGTTGCTGATGAAGTTAATTTTAAAAATAATTTGGCTCTGGAGCCAATGAACCCTAAAGTGCAGGTTTTAAATCTGCTCAGGTGTGGTTTGGTAGCCGGAGGCTGTTTGAGCAGCTCTGGATGCTCAGGGGCTGTGCAGGCGGCTCGGAGCAAACCAGAAGACGTTTTAAATTTAGTGCAAACACAGGGTGAACTAATCCCCTTGCCCAGGCCACTTGCTCCTTCAGAGTAATGTTTAAAGCTGGTCAGCTGGCTGTTTTAATTGCAGAAACACTGACTTAAGTGAAAGACCTTTCCTCCCAGATTTTGCTGTTCTCCCATCCAGCCTGCAGCTGCGCCTTCCGTTCAAGGCATCCTGACATCCACGAAACTGAACTTCCAAATGACTTTGCCTGGTTGTTTTCAGGACCAATTTTAAATATAAAACCTCCTTGAAATATTTTCTGTTTCTCTGTAGGCTTTCAGTTTGTGCTTTTATTTATAAACACACAGTTTTGCTACAGGTCAGCTGTGCAAACCATTGACATCAAGACACCATAGAGGCTGGCCATGCTCAGGGTCCCCAACTCTTCTCCTACCTCCATCCAGAGTCTTTTTCATAGCCTCTCCTCACCCCCATCCTTATCGGAGGTAGGATTAAATCGGCTGGCTCCGCACCACGTCTGTTGGGGGAGCTGGATCCAGCTCAGTTTGTGGAGACAGATGGCAGACGCGGTTTGAGGAAAAAAATCTTGCAAGATACGAGAGCTCCCTTTTAGTGGGCAACAAACAGTGTGGGAAAGATCTGGGCTAGGATCCAGAGGGAAATTTGTGAGAAAAGGCTTGCGGCTATAAAAGGAGGCTTCAGCCTGGGCGTCGGGGAGAGGCTGGGGGGCCACGGCGGGCGCTCGGCAGTGGCATCGGCGTTGCCGGTGATGGGAAGGGGTGTTGGGTGCTCCCCAGCCCCACAGCCACTGCCGGGCTGCGACTGCCCCGGGATTGGGTAGGGCTGTCCTGAAGGGCTTCTTTTTTCCAGGGGAAAGGAAGGAATGGGAGTATTTTAAACAGCCACCTCGGCTGGGCAGCTGGGAGACGGGTGACCGCGAGGTGGGTGACCGGCAGCGGCGTCCCAGCAAGCAGCAGCAGGATGGTGCTCAACAAACACTTTGGGACTCCCCCCGAGCGCAGGAGAACCTGCACGAGGCAGGCCTGGGGGCAGTAACCTGTAGCTCATGTTTTGCTGCCGCTTCTATTTATTCATTGGGATCACCTGAAAGCCTCTCTGAGAGGAGCCAAAGGCTTTTGGCTGCGGATTAGAAATGAGACCTTGTGCCTCCCCGGGTCAC